GTAACTGCCTTGATTGGTATGAATTGTCAGTTTGTTGCATGAAAGATTTGTCATGATTTTATTGCAATGCTATGTACTGAACATGGATTACTACCCAATAAATTCTTTCAGTCAGTGTCCAGTCATTGAACGAAACAGAATAGTTAATATTAGTAGAATTAATGTTTTTGATGGTAGAGATAAATTCCAGCTATTTGCAAGCTTTCTTACATTAAATTATCCAATCCAATAAATTTTTAGCATCCACTGCTTCTGCAGGAAGATTATTGCCCCTTGTAATTACTGGACCAATAAGTTCAAGAGAGTTAAAAATTCTGATATTTGAGAGTACTGTGTGTTTAGTGAAAGCACATTCTCTTTGTGTACATATATGATAAAAAAAAAACAGTATGTTCGAGGTTTCCAAAGCATTTCTAATGCCTTGAAAAAATTTGTTTCACTTGAATTGTGAAATGTATGTTTTTCAGACCCAGTTAAAGTATCACTCAAGAGTTTCACGTTAGCATCCCTTTGCATAGTTTCATACCACAGTGCTCAAGTAAATTGATCAACTATAATTTAATTCCTTGGCTATGGAGAATCTGAAGGTCCAGTGAGAATACCATCTGAGTAGAAATCACTACAAATGACTAATGTTGTTAAAGGAAAGTTCTCTCCATTATCAGCAAGTTGAGGGCCTCACTTGAGCTAAGTTGAGCTAAGTAAGAAGGCCTTACTGTACCATAGGCAATTGTATGAAACTTAAATATTTTGAAAGGATCACTGACACTATCTTTCCGCAAGATTTAAGATCTGTTTGACTGTGATTTATTAGAATCTCTTGAAATATTTTCTTCAGATCTGCAACAAATTGGTATTTATGTTTTTGAAATTTACAAATGACAGAAAATAGATCTTCTTGAACCCTGCTTCCATTTAAAAACATGTCCTTTAAAGAATTTCCTGATGAAGTTATTGTAGAAGCATCAAATACAACTCTGAGCTTGGTGGTGCTCTTCTTTGGGCCTTAAAACCCTAAAGAAGAGTGAAAATTAGTTCCTCTGCAATTAATGTAGCTATTTGAGTAAATTTGTAAAAATTAGGATCAGCTAGAATGATGTTTTATGAAATGCATAATCATGAAATATCTGCCTGAGCAGCTGGTATTAAATCAATGTAAGATAAAAAAAAAAAAAAAAAGTCTGCAGACGCAGAAAACATTTCTGCAGCATTCAAAATAAATGCCATTGGTTTTTTTTTTTTTTTTTTTTTTTTTTTTTTTTTTTACTAATTAGTTTGTGTGCTAAACTCAAAATTGAAACAGTTATCCTTTTGTGTTTCAAACCAAGGTTGTTATTAGTGAAATATATAGAGATTGCTGATAGCTTTAATCAGATATCCATTTATATTTGTTTGCCTTAATCGAATATCCATTTATATATATTTTACGTATATCAAAGCAGTGTCCAGAATCACATTTAATTTTAGCAAGGAGAAACAGATTGTGAAATAGCATTAGCATGTGCATCATTAGTTGGTTATTTATGATTACTGTCTCCTGAATTTTGAGTTTTGGTTTGGTTGCTTCAATATCAGAGGTATCATTTTGCCTTGAAATAAAATTTTCTGTTTTGTGCAAGAGGTAGTTATGAGATTTTAATTTACAGAATCTGCATGCATATTTTGATTTGCAGGTAATTAACTGATGCAGTTCAGACAAAGTACAGTCAAAAGTCGTTAATCCGGACTTCAGCAATTCCGGATTATTGATTTTTTCGGATTATAGATCATCAGTTTAAATCTGGTAAGATGGCATGCAGAAATTATAAAATTAAAAATATGAAACCGTAATTTATGAAATAAAGAACAATTATGATCTAAAGGGTATCAAAATTTACAAAAAAAGCTTAATATTTATTTGTTTACTTTATTAAACATTTCTTTCAATGTAAGTTGTTTAAGTTGCTTCATTTTATATGATAATACTTTCTCTTTAATTCTATAAACAGACATAATTTCTTGTTCAGTTACAAAGTTCCGCTGTTTAAGTCCTATAATTGCTGTGTCGAGAATACCGACTAATTTGTCAATCGAAATTTTTTCGTTTTCAATAACCTCTGTGTCACTTTCTTCACTATCAGAAGCGAATTATAATGACGAGGAATTTGATTTAAATCATATCAAAGACGGAGTACATCGAGATGAAATACTACATTTAGTAAGGAATTATAAGCCAAATAAAATAAAAACATCTGCCCTGAAGATAAGGATAGTGCTGACAGATCAACTTCCAATTCATTGCGAGCCGCTGCGTCCCCCCCCACACACACACAGAGAGAGCAGCGTGAAATTGATAGACAGATTTCGGAATGGTTAGAGAAACAAAGGATATGCCTTTATCCATATTTTGCAGCAACTCTACTTTTTGTTTAATGGACTTCGAAACATACTTTCACTTTGTAGATCCTTTACATATTAGTAAATATATATCGGAAATTCTATTTGACATAATCGAAATTTCAAGCTTACTTTTATAAAATTGCTCTAACAGTCTGCAAAAAATAATAAGCCGGATCCAATTTGAAGATTAAGGAACAATGCAATCTGCAACATTAACTGAATTAGATAATTTTAGGTTAGCTTATACCGTCCATTATACATTAAACGCGCATGCGTAAACGTATTATGTGCATGCACACACGCATATTTGCAGCCGTAAAGGTCTTAAGCGCATGTGTAAATGCCTATGCGCATGCGTCAACGCGACACATCCGCAGAAAGTTTGTAGCTTTGAGGTCCGGATCACAGATCATTCCAGATTATGGGTGTCCGAATTAACGACTTTTGACTGTATATGCCTTTTAAAAACTCAAATCTTTGGATAGGGTTCATTTAAAAAAAGAATCCTACTTATTCAAAAGATGAGATGATTTTTTTCACAATTACGTAATACTCTCTTTGAATTTAGAATGAAAATTTTCACCTTGTTTACCAAATGTGGAGGTTTCCTTTTTTACATTTACTACATTTTTTTTTTTTTTTTTTTTTTTTTTACAAATTTTCAAGAATTTGGATATATTTCTAAGAAATAAAATAAATTTATTCTAGTGCTGCAAATTTGAAGATGTTAAGATTTCCTATTCCTTCCAAGTTACCTTATCCTGGTTTTTGCAAAACAATGTGTATTAACAAATTTTCATTAAAATTACTCATTTTGGTGTTCGTAGCCTTTAAAGCTCTAACATGTTTTAGAACACAATCCATAAGCATTCTTAGCTTTTCAGCCCATCAAGTGTAATATCTTTTAAACATAGTACAGAATTTATGTGACTGTTTACAAATTAATATTTTATTTTCATATCAATTTTTAAGAGCAGTAAATAAAGAATCTACTTATAGAATTTGTTTAGCATTTCCAGTAAGAAATAGTCACAAATAAAACTTGTTTTGGGTATCAAAATAACAGTTCATTAGAGGTAATTATACTGTTGAATTAAGTTTTAAAATTATTCCAATTTTCATAACTTCTGTCTATTTTAGATAAAGCTATTTCTTTAAGATATAACTTCTGATTACCTTCAAAATGTACAGTCTGAACATGAGTACATTTTCACGATCTGCAAATTTATCATCTTTTAATACTCTTAATTTTATCTAATTCTTGAATTTCTTCAGAACTAAATTTTGGAAGTTTCGTTAATTGAACCTTTAAATCCTGTTTTGATATCTATTTAAAGCGGTTGTATCCATTTTTTTATTTATCCATTATGGAAAATTTGTGGTCAAGTCATGAGAGTAATTTATGGTACAATAAATTACTCACATTGACTTGACCTCAAATTTTTCATTCACTACAAACAAAATTTGAAAATTTATAACAATTAAACAGGTTATTTAATTGTTATTAATAACCTATTTAATTAAATTATTTATTTTAATTAAATAATTTAATTTAAATTTATTTATTAATTAAATAACTATTTAATTTAATTAAATAATTTATTTAATTGTTATAAAGCTTCCAGCATTTACTCAGTTGCATTGCAAAGAGAAGAGTTTTTGGTGAAATTAGGCAGCAACAGAAATATTTGATTGAAAATTTCTTCATTGTGTGTTTTGGGTGGAATCAATGACTTCATCTTCTTATCCATTTTGAAAACTGAAAAATCACAGAACAAACTACACTGTCATTAGTGCAATACTAACTGAAAATGAGTGACATCATCTTAAATATGTCCTTGATTGGTGGTTGTTAATTCTTTCTTCAGTTTAAAAAAGAGTGTTACCATCATGATTGAAATTATAAGAGATGTTCAGTAGTGAATTACATGTGAAAGATTTATAACAATGAGCAGACATCATTCCTGAACAGGAATATTCACGAATAATGTGATAGTTAGTGACAGGGAGTAGAAAAATAGCACCATACGTACTGTGTCCTTAAAAGACTTATTTTGATGGGAAGGAATATCAGGGTAAATGTTGAATGAAACTTGTGCAATGTATTAGTGAAAAAGGTAATTTTAAAACCAAGAAACATTAATGAAAATCTTGGCATATTATTTTGCCTTACTTTTGGCTAGAATCACTGATAACTGATATATGCATGAAGAACATATATAATTGAGATATTATTGTAGGTTTGGAAACTAATTTTTATGCACAAGACATTTTTATTATTTGGACTTTGTTATCCTTCTGAACTGTGTTATTTTAAGTATTTAAAATGCAGTAATCCACTAATAAATAAATAAAAAAAAATTATTTAGTTTATTTGCAACTAGAAAAATATCACCATAAATTAAAAAAAGTGATTTTATGTTGAAATGAAATCATTCTTAAAAGCTGTTCAAATATGTAAAGCTTGTAGTAATCATTATTTATAGTATAATTCTTTAATAAGCTGTAGTAACCATTATTTATAGTATAATTCTTTAATAAGCTGTAGTAACTATTATTTATAGTATATTTCTTTAATAAGCAGTAGTAACCATTATTTAAAGCATAATTCTTTAATCTAGGCTTTGGAAGTCGTGAAGAAACTACAAGATATTATGCCAATTGCTCGTTCACAAATGAAACTACGAGTAGTAATACCTGGAGGCAAAGCATATAGGAACAAACTGAAAGAATTAGCAGCATCGGTTGAATCGCAGAATACTGATGGCGGGAATTTACAAATGGTTAGTTTTGTGCCACATAGTTTGATTTTGCTAGCATATAAAAATACATAACTTTAGATTGCCATACAAATATACAATTTGTAGATGAAATCTGCTTCCTGTAAAATATTCTTTTCTGTAAAGCCTGCTGTTGCTATGTAATATAAGAAAATTTTCTGTAAAGCACGTTCTTGAGAAAGAGGCAAGGCCGTTCCTAACGGAGGTGCAGCGCGTAAAATTACACGGGCGGCCTGACTCTTGTGATAACACGAATAAATATTTTAAATTTATTGTAAGTACTTGTCATATGTAAGTACTTAGTAAGTATGAAATAAAAATTTATTAATCATTCAGTATTTTTTTTTTAATTTGGGGGCGGCAATCTTAAGAAAGTATGCTGCCAGCCAATGGCCTAGGAATGTCCCTGCAAGCAGGTAGTCTGTGTGTCTTTTTCACAGTTAAAATAACCAACCACTTAATTGAATTTAATTAGTGTTTGAATAGCATTTTCGTTCCATGTTGCGGTAAAATGCCTCCAAGAAAAAGAAAATATGTAAATACAGTAAACCTTATCACATGATCATCTCTGAAAGCCATAGAACATAAATGAATGTGTATCGAACATTAGCTACCTAAGGCAGAATAATGACCAGAATTATTTAGAACTGCAAGTGGTTATTCGGAGATGTTTGAATATAGTGAGCAGAACTTTAGGGGGTGATAGAAAGCAGCTGCATGAGCAATATTCGTCATAGAATGTATGGTAAGAACACAAACGGCGAGCCGCTATGTGGCACTGGAAATGTATAAAAGGGTCGGTCCTCGTACTCAGCAGTATTTTCTGCTGTGGATTGCCAAGAAGATGGCTGGTTATATGAACCACAAAATGGCCGATATACACTTCTTGTATGGTGCAATGGATGGGAATGCAAGTAAGGCACAGAAACTTTACCGGGATCGGTTTCCGATGAGACGCACTCCAAATTGAAAAATTCGACATTTGCATCAGCAGCTGCGTGAAACGGGATCTTTTGTCCTAGCCAAGTAAGACACAGGATGTTGAAAAGAATGTCAGTATGCCACAATTTGAAGAAGGCATTCTGCGTAGGGTAAAAGATAACCAAGATGTAGAACACAAGGGGTTCCACTGCCCCAAATTATGGTTTGCCATGTGTTACAGGAGGAAGGAATGCACCTATTTTGTATGCCGAAGGTTCAAGTAATGTCACCAGTGAACTATCAGCCACGTGTTAATTTCACACATTGATACCTCCATCAAAATGCAAAGCATCTGGATTTTGGTGCACATGTTCTGTATACAGACAAGTGCACTCATTCGTTCCAGCTGTAGTTCTCCATGAGTGTTTGGGCAGGGACCCTACATGACCATTTGGTTGGTCCAAATCTCCTGCCACACCATCTGGACAGCGAATCATATACATTCCTACGAGAGGTGTTGCTGGAATTGCTGCGTCCAATTCCTACTTCCATCAGGTTGAGAATGTGGTTCCAGTGCGATGGTGCACCTGCACACTTCAGCTTAGATGTGCAGAATACTTTAAAGTTCCCAGGGTGGTAGATTGGTTGAGGTGGTCCCATAGGTTGGCCACTAATATTACTGATCTCGTATTTGGACTTTTTCCTGTGGAACCATATGAAAAGAGTAATCTACAAGTGCCCTGTTGAAACCGATATAGATCTAGTCGCCAGGATCCCCATTGTTGCCGGCGATATTTGGAAATTGCCTGGTGTCTTCGCAAATGTGCATCAATCCCTATCCCACAACTGGGTCTTTTGAGCAATTTTTATAAACATGTTCTATTTAAAAAAATGCTTTCTGAAGTATCTTCTCTCATTCTTGTATTAATTCTTTAAATCTCACCGCTTGTGCATCCCGACCATACATTCTTTGACAAATTCTGCTTCTGCCTTCCATCACCCCCTTAAATTTTGCCTACTTGTTCAGATTAACCCTGCATGTATTACAGCAACAATTTGTTGCTGTGTCTATTAAATCCTTAAATAATAAGAAATGAAGACAAGTTCTTCATCAGAACTATATTTGTAGGAAATCTGAATGATTAACATTTCCCTTCAAAAGTTAAGAAACAAGAAATCTTTTGCTTAACATATCCTTGGGGAAGAGAGGTAAGGAATATTGATATAGGTCATATACACGAGGGTAAATCAAAAATTATCTACACTTTTGTCATAACTTTTCTTACATTGCATATTTTGTCTTCTCACATATTTTATTGTTATACTGTTGTAATGCTATGAAAGATTGATCTTAATTCCTCCCCTGCTTTTTTTTTTTTTTTTTTTTTTCTTCTTTCTGTTGCAGATATATTATGGCTGCTCCATTAGAAGTTTGCACCAAAGAGGAACAATGAGCTGTGATCTGATTCCTCTAGTTGGAGGATGTCAAAGGGTCAGAGACATTCATCACAGGCTATCATCGCAATATGGGAAAAGTGTACTATCATGTAAAACTGTGTTTTGACAAAGCATTAACAGACCTTAACACGAGTGAACTTGTGTTCTGCAGTAAGCTTTCTTAGTAACCACCATGCACAGACTTTATGAAAACTGAGCTCGTTGTGGATGATTTGATGGGCAGAGCCATGACTTATGTTCAAAGCAGATGCTACCTCATTGATAGTGATTTGCCTATTCATGTCTGAACTTTTAACACCCTCCGACTAGAGAAATCGGATCACTGATCGTTGTTTCTCTTTGGCACAAACTTCTAGTAGAGCAGCTATGATATATCTGCATCAGAAGGAAGAAAAATGAAAGAATTAAGATCAAACTTTCACAACATTACCGCAACAGTATAACAATAAAATATGCGAGGATAGAAGACAAAGTGCGCAGTGTAAGAAAAGTTATGACAAACATGTAGGTAACTTATGACTTGCCTACATATATAATCTGCAAGAAAACACCATATTTTCTAATTTATATAACGAACATAAATTTTAACACATTAGTCTTATATTATTATTAGTCATTCATATGCTTTTTTGTCCCTAAGTACTCTCTGTTCAGAAGCTCTGCCATTGTATATCCTTTGTCTTCATCCATGACCGAAGGAATAACCTCATTTTCCTACAAATAGCAGAATGCAGTTTTTTGGCAACATTTTTCCTTTGAAGTACCATACAGAAACAGATAGGGCAGGCTGTTTACACCAGATTCTTAGTTTCATTTCTAAAGTTGAATTGATCAACATGAAGTTTTGTAGATGTTTACTTTAAAGCGCAAATGAAGATTTCATTGCACTTAAATAACTAAGTTACTATTATTAAAAAAATATTTCAGTTACAAAAGCACAGAGCTGTGCTTGCTTTGGTATTAAATTGAGTTCTACTTAGCTTCTACCTCTATAAAATGCATATATATATTTTCTATACTGACATTTAAGTTCTTGATTATGTCATTAAGAAATGAAAATCATATGTACTTCAGCCATTGTTCTAGTTTAAGGTTATGGAGAAGAGAAAGCATTTTTCTGAGAGAGTCCCACACAATTGAGGTCTGACAACCGATTTGGCTAGTCCATCTGTTTCATATTTTCAGAAGCCAATGTACGTAGTAATTTATAGAAAGGTTATAAGAATGGTTATGAATAAATCTTTTCTGTTTCAGTACATATGTAGTATAATTTACAAGGAAGGTCTAGTATTTTGAACTATATTTTTTGAAAAAACGTGTATATGAATCTGCTCACCTAAACATCACAGTAATAAAAATGTTAGCTGCTAATATTTGTATGTAAGGAGATAAAGGTATATGATATTTGGCAATACAATACTATTTGATTTTTCAGAATTTCAAAATACTGTTTTCTGATTCTTAGGATAGTGCACCAGCAGCTGAGCAATAGATTCTTTAAATACTGGTAGTCAACCCAAGTTCAAATCCTGCTGCATAGTTTTTCCCATTTGTAATATAGATGCAAGCTCCTTATAAGTCCTCGGCGAAGGCTTCCAATTCAGATAGCTCTCAAGTTACTTTGCCTTAATTATTAACCTAACTTAACCCCTAGTTCCCTGAGTAGGTTTAGGTTATTTGGATAATGGCAAAGCATAGAGGGCTGTTTGTCTGCCAGGAGAGGGATGTGTTTGTTTGAGGATTTTTTTAAGATAAACTAGCTGGTAAAGTCCAAAATCACTATCCAAAATGGTTTAATATAGAGACCTTGGGACAACAGAAAAAAAAGATTCCTTACAAAGTCCATGAATGGAGACTATATTACTGAAAGAAAAAAAAAAAAAAAAGTGTGCTGTAAAACCAAATTTTATCCTGACTACCAGAGATCCCTGCATGTCATTTTGAAATGCCAACTGGCTAGAGAATCATATCTTGATTAATAACAATATTGAAGTTGGCCACAACCACCCTTTTGGCCCTTGAATGTTTGTGTGTTGGTTTGAGAGGGAGGGCATTTTTCTACCTGACCTAAACAGTAAATTAATCCTCGAAACATATTTGTTTAGAACTCGATGTTGTTCACACTGGTTTTCTTGGCAAGGTCTTTAAAACCTCTGAATGCAGGATCCATGATACTTTTATCCTGAACATATGCGAGGAACGTTCGTATCGCATTGGCAGAAACTGGGATCACTTTTGCAGGAAGGAATGATTTTTTTTTTTTTTATGCTATTCTGAATTTTATACCTGCACTCAGAGGGTTAATAGACAACAGTATGTGAAGTGTTAATAGCCAACTTCAACAGCATATGGGTGAAAGAATAACCAAAGATATCTTGATACATGCGAGTGTTGGGAATTTTATGAGTAAAGTACAGTGTAGATTTCTATCCAAATTATACTATTTTTATCTTTGTTTTATTTGGTTCATGGCATAATTAATGTTGTTGTAAAGTAAGGACTATATTAACCATAATTTCTTATGCCTCATATGTCACGATCTATCATAACATAACTGGTCCTTTGATAAAGCATATTTTTTTCCTAGTGATAGCAGATACTAATACAAAATATTATATTTCTCCATCATACTGTTTTCAGCAAGTATTAAAATTTATGAGTAACCCTTTATTAATTTCCTTCCTTTGAAGCTGATTTAGTTTATGGAGAAAACTAGAACTTTAATTTAGGAATTTTGTCTATTCCATTTTATTCAGAAAAAAGTTTTATACAAAATACATCTTTTAATAGAATTTATTTCTTTAGGTATTTTTGATTGATCCTGGAAATTTTAGGAAAGTTGATGAAATAGTTACAAATGAAACCAAAGGCAAAGGACAGCTAGAAGTAATCAGTTTAAAAGAAGTTCAAGAAGGAGATGAAGCTTTAGAGTGATAATACATTGAGAGTTTAATAGCTTTGTATGTTTTTCTATTATTAAAACATGTATATATGTATATTTTATGAATACTGCGAGAATTGCATGAAACCTGATTTTTCATGTTGTGTATTTTGCTTCTTGTCCATATATATTCTGGCATTTGTTATATGATTAAATTTTGCTATTTAAAACTAATAAATGGAGCTATTATAAGTGAATTATGGATACATGTATTAGTTCTTTTGAGTTCAGTGATTCTAGTTGTTGAGCAGGATTCATCTGCTACTGCTACAGTATTTAACTTTTTTATTTACATAATTTGCCTACAAAAGTAAAATTCAGTTTTATTATTTTTCATAGTAATTTATAGAAACTTTACAAGAATGGTTATGAATAATTTTTTTGAATTTCAGTACACATAATTTATAAAAGGTTTGCTAGTATGAACTGTAAATATTTTTGAAAAATGAACATATGAATCTGCTCATCTAAATATATACGGTAATAAAAACACTGGTTGCTAATATTTGTATACGAGAAAAAAAAAAGTATAAATTATAAGGATATTTGGTAATACAATACTAGTTGGTAATTTTCCAGAATTTCAAAGTATAGTTTTTCCTAGTTCCGTTGATAGGTATCTAGTAATGTTGACAGGCTAGCTGCGTGGACATTTTCCCCATGTGTAATTTAAATACGAGCTAGTTTTCCTTTAACTCCTTCACAAAGGTATCCCTTCCCATTTATATAGTGCTCAAGTTGCTGTGCTTTAACTGCCACGGAAAAAGGACAAGATTCACTCCCCAGTGCCACCGTTTTTTTACATAGGCATGCGTAGTTATGCAATATTAGGGAGAAAATAAGTGCAATTTTGCTGTCTAAAAACTGTTTAAAGAAAAAATGAAAATACAAAATTTAATGTTTAGAGAAAGTTGTTAATAAAAATTATCCAAAAAATGGAGTTTCTATCAATTTATTTTTAGACTGGTAAAGTGTAATATAATATCAGGTTTCTGTGTTATACCTTGCAAAATTGGCATACCTAAAAAACATGTATTTCTTCTGAATTGGTTAGATGTCATAGGCAAGTTTTTCATATCAAGTGATACCTAATGTTGAGCATCTTTCAGAGAATAGTCACAATCCTCTTCATCTGACATAATATATTCTGAGGTGTCCAATCCTGAAGATGACAGAAAATTATGGATTTCGCTTTCAGAAATATTTGTAAAAAAAAGCACATACTACTAACAATAAACGAAAAACAATAATAACAAATTACATTATACTGAAAGAGAAACACGTGCATCCATTACTTTTACCGTTTCAGAAACATTCTTTTCTCCAATTCTTCACCCTCTCTTCTCCGAAATAGTATCTCCTTTGCATACTCTGTCCAGGTCATCGTGGTGTTGCATTCCAAAGTTTTGCGAATAATTTTACTGGTAGCAGTGCAAAGCAAATAATAGTATTTCAGAAGGGTATGTGTGCTCGGAGTTAAGGAGTTCATCATATTGGTAGTTTAATTCCAATTTTGATTATGGCAAAGCATTAGAATTATTTTACTTAAGGAGAGGGACATATTTATTTGTGGAGGATTTTTTATGGAAAAGCAGTCCGAAATCTGGACATCCAGATCTCAGGAATACCAGGACTTGAGGGGGGGGGGTATTGCAATACTGAGTCTGAGATGGACTCGTTGGGACTTCGGTGATTCCGGCTATTAGATCATTCATTAGTTTACATCTTGTAAGATGGCACGTAGAAATTATAAATTTAAAAAACATGAAATCGTGATTTATAAAATATTGAAGCATTTACGATATAAAAGGTATCAAAATTTACAAAAAAAAAAAAAAAAAAAAAAAAAAGCTTACTATTTATTTACTCGATTAAACATTTCTTTAAATGTAAGTTGGTTAGGTTGCTTGTATGAAGTAAAAAAGGAAGTATTGTAATTGCGAAAATGTTCAGGCAGCATATTTCAAAGAAAATATTCATTTTGACCGCTGTCAAATGAAATTTAACGATGTTTTTGCATGTCATCTGTATGTAAGGACAGAATAAGACTCTTCCAAAAAAATTATAAAACTGCTTTAAAATGAATTCTGAAGAGAATTTTTCGTGGCATCTGTACATACGTATCTCGCATAACTAAAAAATGAATAGCCTCAGAACGTTGAAATTTCGCATATAGGACTGCTATAAGTAGATGTGCATCTCATATTTTGGTTGCAATCGACTGCACCAAACGTATATAAATATATTTATATATATCCACTTTGTTACTCGGCTCTGTGATATCAGTTTCTTTACTTTGTAAATTGAGTATTTTTTACTTTAAAAATGATTGAATTATGTTTTTCTTATTTTTCGGTTAAGGTTTTTTATCCCTTTAAATCTAAAGAGACTAAGCTTCGCAAAAACAAAGATACTACTACTTTTAGTACTGCAAATAAAATCACGCTTAATCCATCCTGGAATTTGAGAAAAAGAGTGTTTGATTTATTTTGTAATTTTTAATATAGATATTTTGAGTTTTTATGTATTTTTGCCTTGGGAAGTGAGAACTGAATTAATTGAATGAAAAATACTGAATCGTCTGTGAAAAGTTCTTTTGTTTGTATAATTTCTTTTATACATCATTCTAGATTTATAGTATTTGAATAGAACATGTGGCAACGATTAGCTAATTCTTCAAATGATATAAATTTTTTACATTCTGAGTCATAATATGAATGAAATATAACGCTATTAAGTGAACCTAGTGCCAGAGTCGCTATGGTAAACAAATATAGCGAATTTTAAAGCGTGCATTTATTCTATTGTGGTTTATGTGCTCTCTACAAACTAGATTTAATTCAATCAAATAAGTTTAAATGAAATGCATATAAATCCTGCAATTGCTCTATCAAAAATTCTGACGAACTTGTCAATCAAAATTTTTCAATTACCTCTCTCACTTTCTTCACTATCAGTAGCGATATTTTCTGGATCTAGAACCATACTACAAATTTCCCCATCCGTTAATTGACTGATGATTGGTACATCGTCATCGTGATGAAAAACCTCTGTTATATCATCTTCATTTATTACTACTTCTCCAGATTTCTTTACAAAATCCATTAATTGGAAAATTTCATGTTTGGTTTGTGATATCCAAAAACCTTCACATTTATGGCTATCGTATTCAGCAGCCTCACCATGAAATATCGTAGCTAGCTATAAATTATGCCGAGTACTTTTTAAAGTAACTGGAAACACATCCTTCCATGATCTTACGATGCTCCACACAGCAGATTTTATGTTAAAATATTTCAAAAATTCTTGAATAGGTTTTCAATTATTCAAGAAATTTAACACAGATTTTAAAAATGCTACTTTATATTTTCATTTGAGTGTGCACACTATTCCGATATCCATATGCTGAACGATATACGTACAGTTTGGAAGAAAGAATAATACAGATACATTACCTTTCATTAAAACTAAGAGAAGTATGAGCCGAATAGCTGCTTACAATCAGCACAATTTTTGCGTCAACAGGTAAACCAACTGAATTTAAATGTTGCCAAGCCTCAGGTGTAAAATGATTCATTAATGCTTAGGTCACCCATGCTCTTTTATTTGAAAGATATGTAATGGGACTCCTTTAAATTCCAGCCAGTTAGAGCTTTTTTTTTTGTAGAGATTGCCAAGGTATTTCGTGGTACATATTCCAGAAAAGACCAGTTTCATCAGCACTGTTCTGGAAATAACTTTTCACTACTAATGAGCTTATCTGCAAATAATTCAGCATCTCCCGTATCAGCTGAAGCATTTTCACCCGAAATTTTTAATTGCCATGGCGATTTTAAAATTTGGTTAACCAAGGTATCGAATGTTTGCACTCAGATTTTAAGTTAATTTCTTCATGAAATATTTTGGCTTCAGCCATATTAGCCTGTCAATGGCAAGTGACCGGTGTGATGCTGTCTGCCCCATTCAATCATTGCTGTCATGATCGTCACTTTTAGCATAATGAATAATTTTTCTGTTATTCATTGCGAGTGAGAAGTCTGAATTCACAAAAGTTACTTCTTCTGTTATGCATAAACTCCCATGTATACTTAAGGCTTATCGAAGGCTGGCGCTAGATTCTCACTGCCTGATACAGTCCCTACGGGTCCTAAATTCTTCTACTAAGTGCCTCCCTAAGTTCTGAATATTGGCCTCCCCTAAATTTTGGGTTCCATTTTTTCCATAAATTCTAAAATTTTGCAATCCTCTAATTTTGTTGCTTGGTGCTTCTCTAAATTCCAAAAAAACTGTCTTACCTAAATTCTGCCAGCCACTGCAGCCATACGAGCTATAGCGCTGGGTCTGGGTTTAAGTGAATAACAAATCAGTTATTCTTAATTCAGATAGCACTAAATGTAATATTTTGGCATATAAGTATCATTAACAAAATCTATTTTTAGCATATGAAAAGAAATTTTTGTTAAATGTTTGGTCGTCAACATTTCTTAACACATTTAAACATAAACCTGTAATCACTGCCAAGCGTAATGTCAACATAAAACATAAAATGTTACCATACTCTTTCTTATTCAATTACTAATGCTAAAAGATAACATGCAGTGTTGAAAGCAAAATATATAATAATGAATCGCGAGGTTGGCACCAGGGATATAAAATATTAGGTGTATAATCATCGATGTTTCTATGTAGAATATTTCACTTCTTTCGCCAATGGACTACGGAGGCAAATTATTGATCACACAAATTTATGTTAAAATGATTGTTTCTTCAATAACAAGGTATTTTATTTAATGCTGAAGTGAAATTAGAATCATACTCACCACGATTTATTATGGGGACGGGGGGAAATCAAATGTGCATGCATAAGGCATACAAAAAAAAAAGTGTTATTGATGTCCAAGGTCTGGGTTTTAGATCATTCTGGCTGTTAGATGTCTAGATCTCAGACTTTGAACTGTATTTAGGAATGGAAACTACAATACTCAAGGAAAGCAGATGCACCATAAAAGCAGTTTCTGTTCCAGCCAACAGAAGCTTCTAACTTCTGGAGCTGCAGAGAGATTAGCATGTCATTTTCAAACACCAGCTCGTGTTGGAATTGCACCGTAGCAAACAGCAGTATATTGATTGAAGCTGTACTGATTTTGGTCAAAACCACACTTTTAGCCTTTAAGTGGTTGCGAGGAACACGTTTTTCTGTCTCATTGAAACTGCAAGTTAAGCTTCAAAATGAATTTGTTTGGAGTGGGATGTTGTTCATGGTGGTCTTCTTTTGTTAGCATGGCAGCAGGGAAGTGAGAAAGAATTGGATTTTGATAAACTCAGAATGTTTACATGTTCACTCTTAATGTTTACTCTGCATTAAGAGTGAAAAATGCTTTTTGAAAGAAAATTGCATTCTTGAAAGTTACAGTAATGGAAGAATAAAATTTAAATATAGGTTAATATCAGGCTAACGTTATGATATGAGGTACTCAGTGTAGGATTATGCTTCAGGGAGGAATGATGAAACATCTGGTCAAGGTATTAGTTGATACTGATACAGTTTATATCATATTCTTACAGTTTCATTTCTAAGGTTAAACTGATAAACATGAAGTTTTCTAATAATAAAATCATATGCTGACTAGGTAATTTTCCTTGATGCTTATTTTAACATGCCAATGAAGATTTCATTGCATTTGAATAACTAAGTTACTGTTATTAAAAAATAATTATTGTTTTGTTATTAAATTGAATACTGCTTAGCTGCTACTTCCTTAAAATGCATATACATATTTTATCCATAGTGATAAAATCATCTGCCACTTAATAAACAAGATAGTTTGTGGTGTTAATGAAATATTTTAGTTTTTTGGCTGTAGACAGTACATATTGTTACAGTAGTGAAGGAAATGCTTTATTAAAAAAACTGTCTTACTGCTAAAAACTATTATTTTAATATTAACATAGAAATTATATGCAAATATATCCTTATGCCAAATAATTTAATATAAATATATTAATTTCTATCAAAATCAAGCAATACAAGTGAATGATATAAATTATTATCTTTACATGCTTTGGAATTCTGTTTAAAAAGACATTATCAAAATATTTTTTCGTGGTGTATAAAAAAATTTCATTTTAAGACACGAAATTTTATTTGCAAGTTTCTAAGTTATCCACAAATTTACTTCAGATGTTAACTTCTAATGAATTATTAAATTAATCCAAGTTGTATGCGGTCCTTTAATTATCTATTCAATAAGCAGAATTAAAAAATTATTCATGTTCTTTCTTCACATAAAGGATCTACATCTATCACATGAAATTTATTTTAAATACACTGCACTCAGAATAAATTGTTCTAGATATACTGAGAATTCCTCTATGCAAAGTACAAAGTCTCAAAACCAGACTTGTCGATACTTTGGCGATTCCGGATATTAGATCATCAGTTTAAATCTAGTAAGATGGCAAGTAGAAATTATAAAATTAAAAAATACGAAATCGTGATTTATGAAATAATGAAGTACTCATTGATCTAAAGGGTATCAAAATAAATAAAAAAAGGAGGCTTAATATTTGTTTACCTTATTAAACATTTCTTTCAATGCAAGTTGTTCAAGTTGCTTCGTTTTTCGTGCTAATAATTTTTCTTTAATTCTTTAGACAAACAAAATCTCTTGTTCAGTTACATTCTTGAAGTCCTGTAACCGCTGTGTCGAGAATTCCGACTAACTTGTCAATCGAAATTTTTTCGTTTTCAGCAACTTCTCTGTCACTTTCTTCACAATCGGTAACAGTATTTTCTGGACCTAGAGACACTATAGATTTCGCCGTTCATTAATTTATTGATGACTGAGAAGCATTATCATAATGAAAAACCATTTTTATATCATCTTCATTTATTACCGCTTCTCCACATTTCTTTACAAAATCTGTTAATTGGAAAATTTCACCTTTGTTTTGTGATATCCAAAAACATTTAAAATTAGCGGCTATCATCATCAAATTTAGCTATGCATCATGAGCTTGACAACTAACAAGTTGTTTCATTAAATTTTTTTCTTTCTTCAATCGTGCACTGGGGACAATTAAGCCTGAATTGTATTAGTTTAGTTATTTATTATACTTATGTCTATTTCTTGCACATGCTTAAGGCCTATCAGAGTTCTGAATAAATTCCCACATAGACTTAAGCCTTATTGAGGGCCGGCACCAGATATCTTACTGTCTGATGCAACTGTGGGTCCTAAATTCTAAGATTCAGTGCGGCCATAACGAGCCCCATCGCTGGCTCTGGGTTTATGTGAATAACAAATCAGTTACCTTAATTTAAATAGCCCTAAATGTAATCTATGAGTATCATCAACAAAATCTATTTTTAGCATATGTAAAGAAATTTTTGGTAAAATTTTTCCTCGTCAACATTTTTTAGTGCATTTAACTTAAATCTGTAATCATCGGCAAGCGCAATGTCAATATAAAAGGTTAACATACTCCTTTATTATTCAATTACTAACATAAAAGAATTGTTAAGGCATCGCTACATGAGTCATTACTCAAATTGTCATGTTTTGGTAAATATGCTGTGATAAAAGAAAAGTATGATAAATAATGATTTGCCAGGATGGCGTCAGATCAACGATGTATCTATGTGGAATGTTTCAGTTTGAGATTTGTGCCAAAAGCAGATATGCAGCAATGAAGCCAAAATACTGATTGTACAAATTTATGCTAAAATGATTGTTTCTTCAATAACAGGGTGTTTTATTTAGAGTCGAAGTGACATTAATAGTCGGGACTCTCCAGATGTTTTATTATGCGTGGAGGGAGGGGGTTCAAATGAACATGTGCAAAGTCTACGAGAAAAATGTTGGTGGTTTTGAGGTACGGATTTTTGATCATTCCGGATAATGGATGTCCGGATTTCGGACTGTGTAATTTATACCAATACAGAATATCGGTAAATTATTGATCTGCTTTAATGCTACTAAGCTAGAAAAGAACTGCATTGACATTGTTAAGTTTCTTTGTTGTCTACAAACCAATGACAAATTTGACTCTTATTATAAAAAGCTGCTTTTAAATTTGCTAAAATATCATCTTTCATAACAATCTAACGAAAAAATAGTTTTCCGTACTTCCTCCTTGAATTTTTAAATATTTATCGGAAAATTGTTCAAGTAAAAATTCTCCGTATAAGTTTATTTTAATGTCAGTTATAAACTTATAAAAAGTTAATTAAATAATTCACAGGAGAAAGAATTTATGTAAACATGAATTTATTTTGAATTTTTCAGATTAAACATCTAACACTCATGATTATTCTAAAATTTAAGATATACTTGGAATGTCATTTAATGATGAATTCTCAATGGCAATTGCATGAAGTAGCTATTTCAAAACCATAAACTGCAACTGCACTTTTTGTTTAAATAGGTTTCAATGTAAGGCTATCTTTAAAATTCATATCTAATAATGTATCCTTATTTGAATAAAGAAGACCTAGGACAGTGTATGTTATTTACATCATTATGGACATACTACATCAAAATAAAGTTAAACGGTTAAATTTAAAATACTGTAGAGGAGGGGGGAGTAGGTGTCAAAGATCAAAATTTCTGACAATGATTTCATTATCTTATTAAACAGATTTAAAAAAGTAAATTTTACATGTTATTACATTATTAAAGATTTTAACAAATTTTCAAACAGAATATAGTTAACATTATCAAGGTCATTTCACTTAATTAGTTCTCAGAATAATCCTGTTATTTTATGGAATTCCTATAACAGACTTTTTAATACTGTCATTTTATATGGAAATTTTTTTCATCTTAGATTACTTGTGCAGAAATAAAATCCTTCTGTTATATATGCATTATTTAGAAAAATAATTTACTTGAATGAAAAAAGGAATTCAAAAGAGTTAAATTTTAAATTAATTAAAAAATATAGGATTTTAAATAAGAATCCGTACAGACATAATGTATTTTTTTATTTAATTCTTCAGTGAGACACTTCAGACGGAATGCATTAACCCAATGCTTACAACACTGCATATTTGAATTTAGAGTCTAGGTCAGCTACAGGAAACGGAAGAAACTTCAGCATACAAATTATAGTCTTTTGCCATATGCCTTTTGAATTGCCCACATTAGTGACATAATATTCAGGCATCAAGATGATACATCTCTTATAATACATAACACTTCATCTACATTGCAGCAAGCAGTTCAGATTTACTTTTTAATAAGGTGATATAATAAGTCCTGTTTAAAGAAATTCCATACAATTAGATTTTATACATATATTTATGAATTAACTAAATAAAATGACAAATCATATACATGTCACAGTTTTTACAAAGTTATAAAGAACAGATTTAACAAAGCAATATCAACAAGCACATACAATCTAACAAGATTAAATATTTTTTTAAATTACATACTACTATTTACGAAGAACAAAACATGTATTTTATAAAGATCAGTAAACTTATAATTCCTTTGGTTAAGTTGAATAAAATGGCATACCAGGGTAAAATTTTAAAAATGAAAAGAATTCAGGTACCCTTCACCAACTCGCACATATACACCCAAGAAAAAAAGTTTTCCAATGCAGGTCATAATTTTTAAGTGCTTAAAAAGTCAAAAAAATTAAGTTTTAACATATTTCTACACTGATGAGGGCCCAATAATAATGACCTATTAACAAGATGAAAATGTTAAGATTTCAATTCAAATGCTCTATAACTCCACCCATTTCCTCATCCATTTTCATATACATATAACAGGATGTAAACATTAAATAGTTCTATTTCATCCACTGTGTGCCCGGTACCTGCAGGCTGCTTGACTCCACTAATTTTACAGAAGATGCTAGCTTTCTGACTCCTACATACCATAACCTTGATATCCAGGCATTGGAGGAGCATAAGTTTGATACCCAGCACCTATCATGCCTGGTCCAGCAGTCAGCATCAGCTGAGGCTCAGGAGCTGTAAAAGGAAAATTTATTCAATTAAGGAATTATATTTAATTAAATGCAACTTACTATACTATACATTAAGAGTGAAAAATGCTTTTTCTCTAAATTATAGTTGAATTATAGTTACATTTTGTATAAATCTCTTAATATAGTTACATTTTATTCAAGTCATTCATATACATTTTACACAAAAATATAATAATTTTACTGAAATAAAACAAACAACACTGAATAGTTTCCCATTTTACATTTGTGTTCTAGGATTTAAAAAAATGTTTACAGCAAAATGACATTGCTTGAGTATTGCACTATATCCACCTGATTATAAGGTTGACCAGTGAATCTCAATTTCATGTTTCACTCCTCAGTTATAATAAAGGCCTTTGTTTACATACAAGCAATCCACATGTATGTTTAAGGCCACTGTCAAAAAATTTCATTTCATACTAAGAGCAGTGCTAAAAGTAAACATTTATCTGTTATGGATAGATTTTTCTTCCTAACAAACTGAATAATTTTGTTATAAAGTATTACAAATGCTTTTTTTTTTTTTTTTTTTTTAAATAATCATTGAATTTATCAGTTGCATTTCAATTTGCTCCTACACACTGTCAATATACTATACTTCCAACACAATTTTAATGTTGAAAATAATAGATCAGCTGTTATTCTATGAATACTTTTTCACTTTCTTTCAATGTTGGTGAAACAGTTTTATTGCTCATATTATTTTAGTGTGTGCAATGGCAAGAAAATAATATTCATAAAAAAGTAAAACTGACATCAAAATTTATTGAAAAATGACCGTATTAGGTAAATTTTACAAAATATAGGTAAATTTTAAATACTTTTCAGAGAAATTGCAAATTAAGTACTTTTCTGTGAATTATGATATGGATATATTTAATTGGTATTCATTCCTTCATTTTCCCTGTGTTTTTCTGCAACTACCCTCAGATTAACCATCGATTTAATTATGCCTGTTGTTTAAATTGTAATTATGTGTTGCTGTAAACTGACTGTTTTGTATTTGACAGTATTCTTTTAATTTTTTATACTTTTAGTTAAGATTAAAAAGGAAAATATAAGTATACATGCATTTAAAATGGAAATTACTCCTGAGCACACAAAATGAACAAATCTGATGATCAAAAACATCTGTTGTAAAATTCGAGTCTCTAATCATTCTACTAAAATTCATTTGAAAGTTGCATATACGTTGGGATACATGAATTAAAATTTGAGAACCATTTGTGTAGAGTGAATGTAAAGAAACAAATTCAAACTTAACCCCTTGGGTACGGATTTATTTGAGAAAATTTTTGCATGTGGAACGGATATAATTTTTGGTTGCGATTCATCAATAGCTACTTCACTTTAGGAGTATAAATGTAACAAAATTTAGTATTTAGGTAATCCACTATATTTCTAATCTTTCTTATTCTGTCATCTTTATTTTCCTCTTTATCATCCGTAAAATGTAGAAAGCTTGAAATATCAAAAGCCTATCGCGTACCATAGTGCTGGCAAAAATTGGAGTACTTATTGCATATCATTTTGACCAATACATATGCATTTTTGGCTTCTTCATGTGCGACATCAAGATGCATAATGCAAAATAAGCTTTCATTTCATCAGAACTTACAGGAAACCACCTTTTTTTTTTTTTTTTTTTTTTTTTTTTTTACTGAACCTTCTTTTTCTATCCCTTGTCTGGCATATTTATTCGTCTCTTCTACTATAGTGTCCCAATCTTCATTCAAGATTCTTTCAAAACATCTAAAGGCGTAGGATTACTACCTAGTCTATGCAGGCTCAAAGGATTAATTCCAGATATTTCAGAAAAACTTTTTATATCGGCTACATTTTCTTCTTCTTCCCAAATCCATTCCTCTGATACTGATTCACCAGAAGATTCACTATCACTGCTCGATAGACGTCTTATGCGTCGTGTCTTCAAAACCTTGATATCATATTACAATTGTCATCATTTTCTAGTTCAATATCACCTTCGCTTTGTATTTCATTGTAATTGTCAATTTCAGGATCACTAAACAATTCTTCTTTAGATTTCTCAAAGTCACTTTCGCTATCACTATCATAAAATATATTCCTTGTTTTTGACATAATGGGGCAGTGTATCGCAAATAATGTTCACCGAAATACTGTAATTGCCTCTTCTATAATGACTGATACAAGCTACAATGAATTGAACAGAATTGTGCATAACCTCAAATAACGTTTTAGACATGTCATCCGCTCCTAGGGAAAACAAGTGAATGTTGTTTCTCAGACGTCAAATGTACCCAAGAGTTTAATTTTTGGTTTGACATCTTAGACACGTCAACTGCTCCTAGGGGTAAAAAAGTGAATGACGTGTCTCAGACGTCAAATGTACCCAAGGGGTTAATAACAATTGAAATCACTCTGCACTTGAATTCTACTTGTTTTTCATGTTTTTATATTACAATGAAATTTTGAGAAAATGTAATAACAAAATCAAATTTAAAACTGCATTCCAAAAGACATGAAAATAAGAACTAACCATAAACAATAGGTTTTGCCTCATTTTGAGCTGACTCTTCCAATCTCTGAGTTTCTAACTCCTCTAATTTATCGACCTTAAAAAAAGAATTACATTTTAAATAAACTTAAATACATTTTTTTAGAAGAATAAATATTGATATTCAAAATGCATTTTCAATTACACACCTTACTAATGTATTCCCTCATCACTTGTATGAGATATGGCATGGCAAAATCTGTGATGTTATGCCGCCATGATAATTCCAGAATAACATCTGGATGTAAAAGATCGTAACACTGGAATAGACAAGCTGCAAAACATTCATAATTCTTTTCATCTAAAAACCAGGACAGCAGTTCTTCTGCTACTTCTGCCATTTTAGATTCTGCTGCATATTCCATTGCATCCTATTGAAAATGAAAGTTACCTAATAAAATTTTATATTAAAATTTTTTGAACTTAAATGTTTATGTTATTCTGTATATATCTTAGTTTTAAGCAAGAACTTAAATGTACAAATTAAAAATGCTTACATAAAATATTAATACATTTTTAGTTTTCCAGAATTCAGCTAAATGTAATATTGAAAACAAAAAGCTAAGCATAAAAACAAATGGTTATGAAAACAATACTATTTTCAGTACTTTTTTGTTAACAGAATGTCATTTAGCACGAAACTCACGTATTGGCATGAAATCTAACTAGATGGCAGCAAACCTTAAAGAAATGAAAAAGCTTAATGAAAGAATGTGCACAATGTCAAATTTCTGATTAGTTTTTTAAAAAATGGAAATGAATCGCCATGTACATGGGGAGAATGAAACTTTTCTCCATGTATGACACAATTCCAAGTAAAACTTTAAAAAAAAAATTACATTCAGAGCCGCACAAACTCAACATTGTAATAAACAATATGTGATATTAAACTATTTAGAGATGTGACATTAATCCTGTGTGTATTGGCTTTGAAATAGCAAAATATATAAAGAAAACTTATATATAAAAATTCTAAAACAATTACCACTTCATAACTGCAATGATTTTTTTAAAATTCTAATTCTCTACATTTCATTTTGATCTGTAAGTCAATTTATCGAGCAACCTTACAAAATGCCAAAGGATTTAGAGATTATCTACAGCAAAAAATGCAACAAAATTAATTTATTATTAAAAAGAAAGAAAAAAGCAGCACAGGCACAAATATTAAATAATATCAATAAAATAAATTTGTACTATCATGAATTTAGTATCTATGTAAATTTATGTGAAATTGTAGCATCTCCTACATAATGTAAAATGAAGTGCCTTGAGAAAGCTAAGCTTTGTCACAAAAATACAACTACAGGGACCAGTCTCTAACATTGAAAATAAATGGCTATCACACCAAGTTGGCTATAATTTTGGGCGACTAATTTTTATTGCCAAACTTGGTGACATTTTGGTCCGATCCCTGTAATTAATTCCTACATCTGGCCCTTATAAGTAACTTTAACCTTAAATGCCTTCAAGTAATTTTGAGAAATGGAAGGTACTAGAGATTTGGCGACTGAAGGAAAAGCCGGGAGAGAGTATCAGTTCTCAGTTTTTAGTTCAACAGTTGACTTCGGAGTATTCAGATTTCTGTGGGAGCTTTGATATTTATAAGTGTTAGCACTACACTGTGCTTACTTCTCAGTAATTTGAGGTGGAACTTACTGATTATGCTCTTTTATTCTCAGAAAAGCTATACAAGTACTTTTGTAGCTTACAAGTTTCAGAACTGTAAATTTTTTCTTTTGAGACAATAAGTTTCGAGCTATTATTCGTTCTGTGTGCTATGATCCCGCATGCACACATCAGTATCTTCACTGAAAATGTGTTATAAATATAGCATGCTGTTAAAAAGTTTAAAAACTGACATTAAATTTGCCACGTTGAATTGTTCGAAAATTTAAATTTTATTTACATTCAAAACTGAGCACAGGCTATTCAAGGATTTTTAAAATTCTGCTAATGCATTTTCTAGCAATGAACATTTTAACTAAGGCAGTTAACTGTTATAAATCTCCAGATACGCTAATGTCTAATAAGAGGGAAAAAGCAGTTAAATTCACTGCATTAGTTAAATGAAGTCGAGATAAATACTGCTCTGTTGATTAATATGAGGAATGGCCAATTTTGTTTCAAATCATCATTTTCACCAGCTTCTTACTTAGAAGCAAATACATTTTATATTATGAATAAGTAATCTCAATACAGTAAGAAAAAACAGACCAAAGTACTTGGTCTGTACTTGGCCTACATGGACCAAAGTACTTGGCCTACATGATGACTTTCAAAATGTATGTTCATTGTCAGATTATGTCAAATAGAATTTGCTTCTCACAAAGAAAGTTTCCCAAAAGTAAATAAACTACAAAAATTGCAATCACTTCAAAAAAATATTTTAAACAATGCTTAAAGTGCGTATCTCGCAAATTCTGTTGTCCTCTAATGAAATCTGCCAATGGATTGAGACTGTTCTGAAAAAGTATTTTTGACATTGAAGACAGGTTATATAAAAAATGAGATTTTTGAGGGGGTAAGATAAACACTTAAACATTTTAACTATAACGCTATTCATTTTTACCATGATTTTCCATTTTCATCCATGAGGTTTAGCATTTAAAAATAATAAAGCAGAAACTTACCATTTTTAAAAATTATCGATGTATCATTTTCTTTGTATGCTTTAATAAAAAATTTTTAAACTGAATTCTGAGATTTATTTTATGCAAAAATATTTGAAAACAGTTATTAAAAAAAATTAGACTTATCCTTTTTTATCATGAAAAGAGACCTGACAATGAGTTACCTGAAAAAGTGAGCCAGCAATATAGCTATGGCAGTTACTTCATCAGATAAACAAAATTCTACAGTACTTCAACATGAAATTGAATACCGATAATTGATTTGAATACCGAAAAATCAATCTATTTGAAATCAAAATTCAGAAACATCAGCTATCATAATAAAGATTTTGATAATCCACCATTTGTTCAATAGCATGTTGGAGGAGAAATACTGAAACACACATAACATTAAATATGATTTATTTGACGGCAGGAAAATTTAAATAACTATGTTAAATAAATTTGAATTAAAAGAAGTTATGCTTGAAGCCTATGATCGTTTAGTCTGTGAATGACATGGATCTACCTTTTTTATATAGTTCACTTATTCCCAGACCCTGGAATTTAAGCCTTTAAAGAAGATTACCGATGCGTACCAAATTTCCCCCCCCCTTCCAACAAGAATTTGGATAGTTTTATATATTTGCAAATTTAGAGTATTACTTGATGTATAGATAAACATACAACTTTAAGTAGTTTACAATAAATAGTTACTGAACGTAAATGAAATACTAAATTATTTAAATATATATATAAGTCTCTAATGTGTACATACCTTAAACAATCTGTCTTTCTTGCATAATTCAACTGACTGTTTCCACCTATTGTTGCCTTTATACAAATAGGCAGCTATTCGACGGAATTCTATAAGTTCATGTTTTTCTAAACGTTGCGCTAGAGCTATGTTGTCGAAATTATCAAATGCATCTATGGATGTACGCAAGCCTTGGAAGTCCTCTTCTTCAATAAGCAAACCATTTAAGGCTTCATTGATTGCTTTGTTATTAAGACTTTGTACAGATCGTAGGTAAGGTTTTACAAGAGGCAGATGATTCACCTGAAATAATTTCATCTCATCAATATTAAATGTTTAAAATATATGACACCAAAAGAACTTAATATAGTCAGAAGTCTTTAATCTGGACTCGTTGGGACTTTGGCGATTCCGGATTATCGAATTTTCCGGATTATAGATAATCAGTTTAAATCTGGTAAGATGGCATGCAGAAATTATAAAATTAAAAATATGAAACCATAATTTATGAAATAAAGAACAATTATGATCTAAAGGGTATCAAAATTTACAAAAAAAAAAGCTTAATATTTATTTACTTTACTAACATTTCTTTCAACGCGCGCATGCGTAAAGCATATATTACGCACAGTCGAAATTAGAAAATTGCAACCAGAAAACTATTTGATGTGTATTCGTGATATTTATAATGAATTTGATTTAAATCATATCAAAGACAGAGTACATCGAGATGAAATACTACATTTAGTAATGAATTATAAGCCGAATAAAATAAAAACATCTGCCCTGAAGATAAGGATAGTGCTGCTAGATCAACTTCCAGTTCATTGCGCGCCGCGATGTTCCCCTTCCCCGCAGAGCAGCGTGAAATTGATAAACAGACTTTGGAATGGTTAGAGAAACAAAGGATATGCCTTTATCCATTTTTTGCAGCAATTCCTCTTTTTGTTTGATGGACATCGAAACATGCTTTCGCTTTGTAGATCCAGCATTGAAAATTCTATTTGACATAATCGAAAGTTCAAGCTTACTTTTATAAAATTGCTCTAAGAGTCTGCAAAAAATAATAAGCTCTATCCAATTTGAAGATTAAGGAACGACACAATTTGCAACATTAACTGAAATAGATAATTAGATAATTTAAGCTTAGCTTATACCGTCCGCTATACATTAAACGCGCATGCATATACGCACATGCGTAAAGGTTTCCCGCGCATGCGTAAACGCATATGTGCAGAAAGTTTGTAGCTTTGAGGTCCGGATTAACGACTTTTGACTGTATAGAAAATATACTATGTACACGAAAACTTAAATGCTTTACCCAAAGTGTAACAAAAATATATATTCTCCCTAAGGTAAAATAAAAAAAGAAGTAGATAATAGAAAACTTCATTCAATTTCTAAAATACTGTACAATATCCCATTAGAATAAAAATACTTCATATACTTGAAACATTAAATACCTTTGTGAAATAATTGACCGCACGAGTATGATCCATACGTGGAGACAGAACTAAAAGAAGGTCATTGAGAAGCATGGGTTTGTAGTCCACATAAAACTGAATAGCTTTATAATATAACTCTATGTTAGCAACTTTCGTAATTATTTCTTTGAAATGTCCTTCACGCCAAGCTTCAGTAGGATGATTGATCATAGTTACAACAGCATTATCATATTCTTCATATTTATCATACAGGAACACTAATTCAGCCCACAGATGAGCTTGTTCAGCAGCTCTAAGCACCTGTAAAAAATTATTTGAATTACTGAAAAATATACTACTTTATATTTAATACAGACAAATGAACATATGAAAGTTGCATTACAACCATATACCTTTGGAATGTTTACTCGAGACCAAAAGAGTTCAAGATGTTCTTTCATTTTTGATGGTTTATATTTTGAATACAGAATACCCAATTCTGTGAACATTCCCATATGAGCTCTTTCCAAGCCTAAAAATGAAATCCATGACAAAATTTTATAAATAGTCAACATGAAATTACTAAATACAAGCATATATTTTATTTGCTTTCATACAGTTTTTAAGGTTTCAAAACAAAATTCCTACTTAATATTTTCTCATTAGTTTTTGACAGATTATGATTAGATGTTTTAGTCACAGTCAATAAATGTAATACATACAAGTTCAAAATATTTTGCAATAAGTTTTATAAACCCTTTTTTAATCTTGTTTTTACTGCATGGTCTTATTACTGCAATTCTTTTAACATACACTTGTCTTTATGAAAATACTTTTATAGAAATACAAAAATACTCATTCCGAGATGAATTTTCTGATGTTACTGTTAAATATGCAATTTTTCTCCTCTTGTATTTCCCATACATAAAGTACTATATTTAGTTTCAAATATATATGAAAAATTATAAAATTCCCAATTTTATACCAAAAAGTAAATCTTATTAGAGCATTAAATAATTTATACATTTTTTGTACAGCATGTACATTTTATTCCAATTTAAATGTTAAATGCATTAGGGGTGTTCAAATGAAAAGGTACAAAACAGCACTACAGCTACCCTGTAGTCTTTATTCAAGAGTAATCACACCAAAGGATTGAGCACAATTATTCCACTGTTTCAGGAGCTGAGGATTCCCTCTTCCCAGAATTCCCGTAGCTGTGACAAGAGCCAGTCCTCCACTATGTCCTTCAGCTAGTCGTCCAAGCTGAAGTGCTTCCCTTTGAGATGTCACTTCTCACCAAGGCCACTTTGTCAACAAGTTCGGATGTTATTACTGTTTTTACCTGGCCTGGTCTTGGGTCATCACTCAAACACTCCAAGCTTTCACGAAAACTGGTGCTCTACTTTCTTACTAACTTGTCCTACACACAGTCTGCTCTGTATATGGCCACAATTCGGTGATGAATATTGGCAGGTTTAACCCTTCCACAATCGGAAATCTGATAACATCTCACTGCTCCTCAGTCATCGAATTTTGCAATGTGAATGCTACATCACTCGTTCTGCCACACCAATTGGATGGGACACACAGCTGCCTACTTCACTCCGGCATCATGTGCAGGTGCTTGTCTACAACCGCGTCAGACACTACATTTGCATCCTTAGATGTCTCGTTACGTTATGCCAGAGCGATATATTCAAATTTCAACTGGTTTGGTTGTTACAACATTTTGTAGCTTTTCATCTGAACACCCCTTATATAACTTAACTTACAGTCAATATGAAAAAGTGACTTCAAATCAGAAAAGAATTATTTCATTTACTGTGCGAATATGGTTCAGAAACATTATCAGATATACACTATTTGGTGTGAACGCATGAAGAAATTTGATCTTGTGAGAACTCATGCAAACAAAATCCCCTGAGTTGTCCAGCATAATCTGCTGCCATACATTTTACAAATTTTCAAGAAACTTTTATACATTTCAAGACTGCTAAAGCCAATGCCCTAACAGCTCTTATAGCATGTTCTCTTGAGAAATGGTCCGGAGATAAGTCAAGAAAGGGTTGTGATCTTATGCAAGCATCTGCCTTGGACATTATATGCTAAAAAAATGGTTCAACAAAACAGCATTAGCAATACAACACGTCACAAAATGCACTGACAAACTGACATGGTATTAAAGGATTACAAAGGATAAGGAGCAATATTGCATATGATTAACAAGCGCTTCTTCACAATAAGGCATTGACTAAACCTATACCACACAGTTGCCCAGTCATTTGAGCTAGTTAAAATTGTTATTCATAACTGAAAATGCCAGAAAAACTTTGTACAGGAAGAAATCACAAGAGATGCCAACAATTAAGTCCTTCTAATAAGAATGCTTTGTGACAATACATCTAAAAGATTAAGAGGCTCTGAATTTCTAATGTATGTATATATACAGTAGCTGTCATAACTGCGTGATTTCCCCAAGAGATGTTTTAAGCTCCTGTGATGTTTCATTTCCAAAGAAAGCCTAAATGCAAATGTTCAGTAAATAATTATTTTTCTGTTAAAAGATATTGTTAGAGAATTAAATAATTACCATTTTTACATCATGCTATATATAAATATACCATAAAATATATTACATGGATATCTAATGCTACAGATATGAAAAGTGATTTGTCATATTTAACATTGAAAAGAACAAAAAATTCTAAAATATCAAGGTATCTTTTCCATTATAGGACAATACAAGCCAAAGAACTATTATGGTACTTATTATACAGTAAGACCCCGCTTAACGCGGGGGATATGTTCCATCAAAGTAGAGCGTAATGCGAAACAGCGCTAAACGAGGCTATCTTTACATGTAAATATTGGGGTTAGGGGAAGATGGCTAGGAAATTGGTTAGGTATTAAATTTAAAAAGTTAAAAAGTTGTTTTTTTAATAAAAATAAAACCAAACATTTATTTCTTAAAGCCCAAATTAATACCACATTATTATTTCTTGCAAAAATAAAAACAAAATATAAATAACAAAACGAATATTCTTAAAAAAAAAAACAAATAAAATTCTAAGTCAGTCATATTTAGTTAGCCTTCCGTGTTTTCAGTGTTCTGCCTTTTTGTGACAAAAGCATCTAATGTTGTTTGCCTTTTTCTTTTGCGTTGTTTTCTTAAAAGTTCTTCATAAATGGATAGAGCATCTCTAACACCACGCCTTACTTTTGAGCTCCTGTCAAAATTCGGATCATTTTCAATGAATGGATCCATTATTTCAGTTATGGTAGACAAACTCCTTGTTACAAACACCATCGAAAGTTCTTTTTGCTCTTCTTCTGAATCACTGCTGTCAACATTTTTGTTTTCTTCTTGTTCAGTTAATTCCTTGAGCTCATCATTAGAAAGACTAGCCGCTGCTTCTTGAATTATTTCTTCGACATCTTCCACATTTTTACCCCTTCAAAATATGTCTGTACAATACCGCACCAAACAAGAAATACAAGTACACTCTTTCGGATATGTATTTGAAACCTATCGCTGCATAATATTTCGGGGAATCCCCGTATGCTGCGAGCGATTTCATGGAATCTCCGGGTTGAAATAAAAGAGCGCTAAACCGAAACAGCGTTAAGCGGGGTCTTACTGTACTTTATTATGTCGATCCACATAGAAATCCTGAAATAAAGACAGAAATCCACAAAAGCAGATGATTGTTGTGTACGGGCTATCTTTAAATCGTGCTTTTCTCGTATTTTACAGCAGTGTTCTTGTTTCCAAAATAAGCCATGCCAACAAAAACTTTTTAAAGTGTGTCAGCAACTTTTTGCAGTCAGTCTATTTTAGTTCGTTTATTGGAACAAGTACCTTATAGAAATTTCTAATCTTTTTATATTGTTCCTACAATAGAAAAGATCCATATCAAATTCCTTTTTCACACATACTGGAATCATTTGACACACATTATACTCCCATTTGAAACTATACAATCCAACAACACACAATCCATAAATTGGACTGTTTATTGTTGGATTATAGTGCTTTTGTGAATATTAAACATTTAAAAATACATTCATTACATATTCATTTGAAAATTACCAAGAGCAGCTTCCAGAAGGCTAATTAATTCTTCAAAATATCCTCGGTCTTGATAATAGTTTATAAGATCTTCTAATTCATCAGCATGAACAACAATATGAAGGCCACACATCTGAGCTAACCTAAATTCTTCATTATCGACACAAGCAAAACAAACCTGAAAATTGCATTAAAGTCATCGATTATTGAAAACATACTTTAGCCATGAAATTAAATACGTACTGATTTTGATGTTTCATGACAATATATTACTAGAATATTTAAGCACACTTTATAACAGTCTAGAGAAATTACAAAAGTAATTTTACGCATATTTCATTGAATTTCAATCAATTTAAATGTGATAAATTCTTTTACCTCCTTCCAGGTTCGAGTAGAATTGGCTTTCCGAGCACTGTCAACAGCACCTTGAAATTCTTTCAAATGCACCAAAGTGATAGCCAAACGAGCAAAGTTGGACACATTGTTATATAATAACTTAGCAGGTTCATAAAGTCCATCTTCAAAGCAACGGTCACCAATCTAAAAAAGATGCTGGTAGAAGTTAGCAAATTTAACATACATTTCAAAATAAAAATATGTACACCGGAAAATAAGAGAGTAGCAAATCTTTTGCTATCTACCTTGAGGATGCTCAGACACCATAATCAAAAAGCTATTTAAAGAATCGTAAATTAGAAAATAGGAAGGACAATTATTTCAGAATATTTAAAGGAAGCAAAATAAGATACATATTGCTATCAATGTTATCACATATCCTACATTGAATTATATGCGTCTCTAAGATTCATAAAACATGTGTAGCTTATATTTCAGTCCACAATCTAATATAGCCTTCGACTACTTACTCCAGTACACAAAAGTAACAAACAGGTGTGTAAAAACATATTTTTATAAATTATGCACAGAACAAGAGTGGTATGTATTATATGGCATTTGAAAAATAGAACATAAAACTTAATTTTTAGATTTTTTTTAATTAATAAAAATGATATTACTTTTCTTTTTGATAGCTGTGAGAACACAGAATTCTCAGTGAACACAGTGGCTGTATCGATTCTTAAATCGTTATCGCGCCCTGCCACGTGCATCGCAGTGGATAAAAACTGGAAGGACTGGTTTTTGTCTTTCTCTTTCTGCCTGTCGTCGTGTTAACGAGTGTGTGGGCCTTCGGGCCACACACACACACAGACACACAGACACACAGCTCTCGCCATCGTCCACGGTACTCGATCTGATGTCCATTTTCATAAGATGGAGGAGAAAATCTGTTCTTGTACGAAGAATATAAGAATTCAGGTAAACTTTACTGATTAGGCTGCGAGGTAAAAATTGTTCCTGTGCTGTGACTCAAAGTGTATAATCCTGACAATTGGATGTTTCGAAGTGACGACCATGTGCACCAATTTCAAGCCTATCTAACAGAAATTTGATCTCTTCTATCACGAGTAATTGCACTGCATACTAATTAAGCTTCTTGCAAGATGCTGATATGTAATGTGCCTGTGATGCATCAAGATTAGGAATTGCAATATACTGTAAAAATTGAACGCTATGACAGTCCCGTAGGACTAACGAGTAGGACATGCCGAAGGGCATTCATGAGTGTTTTTTTCTTTTTTTTTTAACATATCGAATATAGGCTAATCAAGAAAAGTGTATTTTTGTGATTTATCTAGGCTAATCAAGAAAAGTGTGGTTTTTGCGATTTATCTAGGCTAATCAAGAAATGTGTGTTTTTGTGATTTAATAAATACATATTTAAAAGAGAGATACTGATTCATGCATGCCTTATTGGGTAAGTCATTTTATTCTTATTATTAAAATTCATGCAATGTACTAACCACTAAATTTTTAGTTTAACTTTTACGCGGAATTAATTCGCATTTGATACTCTTAGTATAATTACTTTTATACGATCATGGCCAGCAACACCACAATAGCTGCTAATAATTTCCAAAGTTTTTCTGAAATTCATATTAACTACAGGAAATAAAAGTGATTTTTGATCAATATTTATTTCAAATTAAAAATCATAAATACTTTCAAGAAACCGAAATTTTCTATGCAAACACTTAAAAATATAATGATTATTTCCACTCAGAAATTCAGAAATGTCAATATCCAGTAAAAAAGTGATAGGGTTACAGAAAATGTTAATACTAAATTAGGGGTGATCATTAGCTTTCTTATATCGTTCACTGACTGATAACTAAATACTGAAAATTGGTTTTATGTTAGAATTATCAAAAGGAAAGGATAAAACTACTAAAAATTTATGAAAAATTTTAGAAGTAAAATAAAAATAAGAACATTTTAAATGATTGCAACAAATTTATTATAAAAGAGAAATACTATCAATATTCAGTGACACCATTTATCACTTCTTCGGGGACATTTGATCTGCTAGGCAGACCTTGAACACTTTTATTTGCCTGCCTCCTTCAAACATTGTCACTAACTTCTCCATCCAGTTAGCTTCCCTCTTCTAGTGCCACTGACAGTCGAAAGGTTAGCCAGTGAACATATTTCTTCATTTCGAGTTGACAGATGAAATGATCTAATAGGTCCATTGTGCCAGATTATGTTGCAATTTGACAAGTTTCCAATGGTTTTTTAATACTATCACATCTTTTGGTTAGCAGTTTCATACAATAAAATAATTTTATGATTATCCACAAAATTGGGTATGTTTTTGGGCTCTGAATTTTCAAGCACATTGCACCTGATCATGTCATGAATTGTAAAATGTTTTAATAATTAAAAACATTGCTTATTACAAAATCTGACTAAGACATTCTCACAACAACATTATAAATATTTGTTTGATTCAGGCTTCAAAATGGATTTGAGAAACCCTCAGGACCTCGAAGAAATTAACAGTTTATTGGACATATCAGATGAAGAAGATGAGGATGTCAAAGATGAAAATTTTGATGTTGAAAGCTATATTGATTCAGAAGATGGTGTAGAGAAACGTGAAGAGGGATCAGAGACAGAACAAGAGGAAAGCGAAAAAGGGTTCTAGGAAAAAAGCCCACAGGTATAAATGCACACAGGAAAAAAGCCCACATAGAAAAAAGCTCACTTAGAAATATGCTCACACAGAAGTATGCTCACATGGAAATAAGCTTATTGATAAATAATTCACATAGAAATATCCCTACATTAATGAAACAATAATTAATTGATTTGAACATCGTCCACCTACTTGAATTTTCTAAAGAAAAATTATTTAAATTACCAAAACATCTATGGTATATATTTCAAAAACTTTATAACTTATGTATAGATTCAGTTGCTACACAAGATTAACAAATGGGCCGTTTAGAATTAAAAGGAGAGGAGAAAGGAAGTAAACATGAAACAGAATTATACAGTAAAAAATAATAAATATACGTTACATATTTTTAATATAAACATTTAGAAGAATAATGAATAATAATTTAGAATGATTATTTTATTTAAATTACTTAAAATATTTAATCTTATCATCGATTTTATCATAGTTTCTTAGATGATTCACGATTACCAAATGTCAGTTTTCCATGTTTTCGAAGGCTGCTTCATAATGTTCAACTGAGAGGCATCATCAAAGTGCCTAAAAATGCTAATTTTATTTCTAAAATTTAAAATTTCTGCAGAAATTTTACAAATTTTTTGGCTCAAAACTTGAATAACTACCTTCAAATATCAATTTTTATATATACACATCAAAAGTATGCAAAAATAGAGTAAAGAAGCAAAAAATTAATTATTAGCAGTTAGGAAAAAAATGTCGTACAGGGGCAATGGTAAAAAATATTACAGTACATGCAAAATTTTACTACAGTTTTCATGCTTTTATTTATTGCCCCTGAAAAGGTTAATGTGAGCATTTGTCCATGTGAACATATTTCATGTGAGCTTTTTTCCATGTGAGCATATTTCTAAGTGAGCATTTTTCCATGTGAGCTTTTTTTCCAGTCACTGCAAAGAAAATGACATTTAGGAAAATACGGACTTTTATTTGGGATAAAGCCAGACCACAACACTCCAGTAGTTTTAGTTTCAGCAGTGATGATAATGTTTTGATGTCCTACATTTCAAGGTAAAAAACAAAATTATCCTTCTTGTATCATCATTCCACAATGACCAAACCATTGATCTTTCTACTTTGAAAAATAGGAACCAGAAATTATCAGTTTCTACAATGAAACCAAGGTAGGAGTAGATATTGTAGATAAAATGCGTGATTTGTATAAAGCGCCTCGGAATGTGAAACGGTGGTAATCTTTTTTACAATGTTAAACACTTCAATCAATTCTCAGATCATACATGCCAGTAATAGTACACAGCTCTTAAAACAAGGCTGTTTCACAAAACAACTGTTTAATGAACTTGTGCTAGGACAACTTGCTCAACGAAGTTTAATGGGATGCCAGTACATTTTACAACAAAAATTAAAGAGATACGCTTCCAACCAAGAACAATAACTTCAAATTTAAGATCAGCCACAGATACCTTAAAAAAAAAAAAAAAAAAGTGAAACATGTTATTTGGAGATTCTTATGAGTTATGAGAAGATTAAGCTAATATGAGTGCAAAAAGTGTTGCACAGCAACCTGCCTGTCATATGTTTTCATGTGTCCTCCTCAGTGCTATACGAGAGAAGATATCTCCTAATTAATCAGATGAATAAGATTATTACTTATGTTCTAATTTTAATTAAATTTATAATTACCCTTGTACAACAAATTTATAAAAGTTATTTTGCAAAATTTGTTTAATATAGTTTCCTTTTAAGACTATAAAAACTGTTTTATTGTCCCTTAAGTACGTTTATAACTTTTAGAAGTTTAATAATAATGGATAGGATTTGATTTTTGTAAGAAAAAACTTTTTATGTAAAAAAAAGTTTAGTAAATCAAGTGCCTCTCAGGCTCAATGCATCCGAACATGTTCCAAAACATATTGTGCCTGACAGTTTTAATACAATTTTGCCTTCTCCAATCAATACAGAATAGTACCAATCCCCTATTAGCAACAATACACTCCAAGACATACCAAAGGACATACAAAAAATTAGGAAGGATAATATGATGCTATGCTAACAGATATAATTGATAAACCACACAAAAACATGACTAGCATTTAAATAAAAAAATATATGCAGTATACTGCATTTTTTATTTGTAGTACTCTTTCTTAGAGCACAAGAAATAAGGTATTACAGGATTTTAAGCCTAATCCTTAAAAGAAAATGAAAAAGCTATATACTTGCATCAATATGATGTGCTATTCATGAAATTTATTCATGCTCCTAATTTTTAGTTATAATTAATTGCAATATAAACACCAGAATTACTTTTATAAATGGAAAGCCTCCACATTATTAACAGTTTCAGATCTCTACGAAATTTTTTCGTAGACTTCTTTTATGAAGATGAACTTTTTTCCTTTACACTTTTTTCACTTAAGGCAGCAATCATTTAAGCTATTTTTGCAATTTTGCTCTTAGAAGCGACTCAACAAGTAACTTCACACTGTTTAAAATCATTGGGAATGATTCAAAAGCAAGGAAACTGGGTTCCATATGAACTGAATCCAAGAAACTCTAAACGACAATTTTTTACACATGAAATGCTACTTTGCCAGGTATAAATGAAAGGCCTTTGTACATTACATAGTCACTGTAATGGAAAACAGATCCAGAAACAGATGTGATGGAAAACAATCCAAAGAAAAAATCATGAGGCCATCATGCCAAGCCGAGTATTCATTGAAAAAAAATCATGTATATATTGGTGGGATCAACTTCGTGTCATGTATTGTAAGTTGCTCAAACTAAACAAACCATTACTGGTGCTCTCTACAGAATACAATTTTTCAGACTGAGCTGAGCAAAGAGAAATGGGCCCACTACTATCCCAAACCTTACAAAATTATGCTCCTGCATGATCACGTTCATCCACACATTGAGGCTCTAGTCAAAACCTACTCCGAAACACTCAAAAAGTTTCTCCCTCCTGCTGTATTCACCAGTTCATTGCTCCTTTTGATTATTATTTGCTTTCATTGATGACCCATGGCATGTCTGAGCAGCGCTTCCCATCATATGAAGATACCAAAAATTGCATTGATTTGTGGATAGCATCGAAAGATGAAGCATTTTTCCAATGTGGTAATCCTTATGCTGCCAAAGATGGGGAAAAGTAGTGGCTAGCGATGGACAATACTTTGGATAAAACATAACATACCATTCTTTCAAAATGCCCATTTTTTTTATTAAAAAAGGGTGCAGACTTGTTTATACTTCGAATAATTATTTCTCTTACTCTGACAAATGAAATCTTGTTTTCTGTTATCAATAGAAGACCGAGCCTGTCTGCACCTTACAAAGCTTCCTTAATAGAGCTGAATTGCACAAAAACCTAAATATCTGTACAACAGATAAATATGTATACATATAAATTTATCTAATTTATTACTTTCAGATGAACTTTAAAGTTTGTAACATAATTTAACATTTTCCTTTTCTATAATAGGTCCTATAGACGTAAACTCACATTATTTACACAACAGATCACTCTTCCAGCTTTCGTAACATGGGGTTACGAGGCACTGCCATATTCTGTACATAAAAATCGATAAGTCTCATCATATCATCATACTGCATTTGACTTGATATACAAAATTAACGAAATCCTTTTTAATATATCCACATCAAAAACTAATTTCTTATTTAACAATATCAGATTTTTAAAAGCTTATTATTTAAATGTTTATGTATTTTGCATATTATAAATATTAAAAGAAAGCACCTTTTGGATATCAGCATGATTGGGGCCAGATATAAACTCCTCCAAATCTGCAAGGCGGTTTGTCTTTGCATAAGCATATATTAATTCAGACTCGACATACGATTCTCGTGCCTTCTTTCGTGCCATCTGCAAGTATCGAACTAAATCTTCCCAGCTCTCTAGATTTAAATATATAGTTCACAAATTTATTAGTCAAGAAAACTTTAAAATTCATAACTACAGATAAACCACAACAGAACTCAGTTAAAAAGTTTTCAAGAATCAAAGGATTAGAAACATTTTAAGCAAGAAGCCTCATTAAAAGAAAAGCTTATCAAAAACAACATAGCTGTAATTAATATATTTAACATAAAATTTTTAAAAAGCTCTAATTTACAGTTTATTTGAATCAATAAATATTTTAGATTTCACAATTATAGAAGTTTTTAAAATGTCTTCTACAGTCAGATGTATCCAAACTGTAGCATACATTATACACTGATTGATTTTGTTCGCTAATTAACACCGAAGTAACCAAAACATTTCTGTTCAGAATGTTATCAGTTATATCAACCAACAACTTGATGTGAGTAGAGATTTATCAAACTGTCATGTATAATTTTATAATCATAACGTATCACAAGAAATCAACCTACTGAAGCTTAATTTTTGAAGAAAATGAAACACTGAAAATATAATCTTTACATACATGTCTAAGACTTATTAAAGACAAAAATTTCATAAAAATTATAATGGTCTTAATATTGCAGGGTTAGACTTGCACATCATGAAAAAATGCTATTTACATATTAATGCAACCACCTTGCTACAATTTAGCAGTTTTATACGAGGGTTGGAACTTTAATAATGGCAACACAGCTGAAAAAACGCTATGCAACTAAACCAAAGAATATTGTGTATGCCACACGTGAACTACATACCTACCTTATCTCTCAGCAAAAAGACTCGTCCTGCCTACGTCACGCGCATGCGGAGTGACGCGAAGAACGGTTATGGTGATTCTCGTGTACGACTGTGATGATGTCATCCTAACGCATACCGTTCCCCCACAGCAGACCGTTACTGCGCAGTATTACTGCTCATTTTTGCAGCACAATCTCTGACCAGCTTTGAGAAAAAAACGGCGAAACTTTCTGCAGAACACTCCTCTCATTTTGCATGACAATGCTCGGCCGCATGCAGCACAAGCTGTGACTGATTTGTTCAAGCGATGGGGCTGGGAAGTGCTTTACCATCCACCATACTCCGCAGATCTAAGCCCTTGTGACTATGACTTAATTCTTAAGATGAAGTTCCTGAGATTCTTGCGGCAGTAGACCGGTCCATTCAAACTATCAACAAAACAGGCGCTGCTACAGGTATTCTGCGACTTCCACGTCGTTGGAAACGGGTTGTACACAATGCTGGCAACTATATTGAAGGACTGTAAAACATGGTGACATGAATCACTTTTGTATTCCTTGTAAAAAAATAGTTGCCACTATTAAAGTTCCAACCCTCGTACATATGAAAAAGTAAAAGGTATTAAGAGTAAACTGGGTGCAAATTAACCGATTTTCACAACATTAAAAAAGGGGGAGATTCACAAATTATCGATATTTATTGAAAGCCAGCAAACATTATCAATAAAAACATTTTAGGGTACTTTTCCGTTTTGCCAGTGCAAGTGATAAAGTTGCCAGTAATGGCACAACCTATACCAAACAAAATATCCTCACTGGTAACCTTTTACTTTAACATTTTCAAAACAAGTCGCAGCCATTTCAGATCGATTGTTTCTTTCAATACTGGCATACAATTACAGAGAATTTTTACCGGATAATTCAATTTTATGCCCTAAGGCCATTCGCGGGCGGTAATTAAGTCAATTAGGATGCAATCACACCATCCACCAGGTGGCGAAAATATCGAAAAGGCAAAGTCAAGGGTTAAATTCATCAATTCAAATGAGAATGCACTAGCGAAGTAAAGAACTGCAATTTTACATAATTTCTGAATAAGCTTAAGTCGTTTCTGAGTACGAACTGAAATAATTCTTGCATTTAAACTTGTATTCCAAATTAAGGTTTAACTTGAAATTAATGTAGATAATTACTGAGAGAATTAGATTTTTGTAGCGTAGTTTACGCAAAATGAGATCACTTGGGGTCACATGATATGAACCGGCGAATTAGGATGCTGTACGATGAAATCATAGTAAACTCTTAAATTAATGTCTTTTTACAAATTTATTGTCTTCATTTATTGGCTTTTTTACAAAATTTTATACGACTTAAAAATGTTTATATCTTCAAAATAAAAAATTCTTAGAACTAACATTTGTCAACATTTTTTATATGTATACTGTGTGTTTTCGCAAATAAAGTCTGCTTGGCAAGATTTTCACCGGCGAAACGGAAAAGTACTCATTTTAGCAATTTAAAATACAAATTTTAATTATTAAATAAGGATTATATGATACATTAAAAAAATAAAATGCTTAAATTTTCTGCAAAAAGTCCTGTACTTTTTCTCCCACTGTTCTCTCTAGGTACACAATGATCTGTTTTCTCTCTGCATTGACATTGCAGAGTTGTGCAATCTCGGCATTGTGCACTAGCTATCCGCCAATACCTTTTATTATAGTTCTCTTTAGCCATATTAAGGCAAAATACTGTATTCCTGTAGAAATTTTACTGGAGTTTCTTCCTTCACTAGCAAATTTCACAATGATACATATTTTTACCCTATGCACTCTCAGCAATTTCTCATATAATTTTTCAGTAATTCCCAATCACTTTAATACAAGCTACCAATTTATTCGATAAGTAATGCTATTTTTTTATAAATACTTTTTCCTCCCATTTTAAGGTAAGGAATATGTTGACAAAGGCACAACTGGAAGAAGTTCAGTTGCCATATTGATTACAATAAGCATATGCCAAAATATCTCCCTGCATTTATACAAAAACAAAGTTATTTCTAGGTGCCACAACAACTGAGTTATCAGCTTATACTACACAACTGCATAACTACAGGAACAACAGAGTTATCAGTTACAATAATGCCATAGCATTTACAAGAGTCCACTAATTTTGGAGTGACTCCGCAACAGTGAAAATAGTGTTATCAAATTATCTTTCAAAGTTGCCATGCTACGACTGTGGAGTACAAAGGGTTAAAAAAAAGATGAAAAATATCGATATCTGTCTATAAAATCCATTGGAGTTTAAAAAGTAACAAAAAACTGCATATAAAAATGACAACATTGCTCAAATGAGGAATTGTTATACACATGTTTGTCAGAATTTAATGACTTTTAGTAAGGTGGCGGTGATAATATCAAGTGCCGAAAAATTTCTTATAAACCTTATTTCATATAAAAATTCTAAATTACATGAGAAAACTACTTATACTGCAAATTATCTGTATTCCGATGTATTGATGAAAATGTTAAAAATTAATCTCATCGAGAACTTTCTAAGGTAAACTGGCTCGTATCCATGTTACACATGGGTAAGCACAAGCAGCCAGCCCGTTTACCAAACTATCAGAGTTAAGCGATTTTACCGCTTGATCACTGGCGAGACTACTGTCATGGATGAAAATTCTTGCACATTGTAAAAACACTTTTATTATATTTTCACTGAGAAATTCTATTAAATTCACCCTATAACCAAAGAAAGAACTATGCAAATGAAGAAGAAAGTATACAGACTGATTTCTACAATTGTATAAAATCACCTCTGAAGGAATTAATCGTGGACTGCATTTTTTATGCAGTTGAGAATTGTATACTATCTCTTGAAACATATTCTTCTCGGGGTCCAAGTATGAAAAAAATATGCATTATGTCAACTTTTGAGAGAAATGACTTGAAGAAACTACATTCTTTTTATTTGATATATGAAAAATATAAATATACCTGTTTTATGAGCTGTTTGTACAACATCCATATAAGCAGATGGGTCACCAGCTTTAATGTAAGAATCAATTGCCTCTTTCACCATTCCTTGTTGCAACTGAGCTTGAGCAAGTAAACTCCAAACTGCAGGCTCATTACATCTTTCAGCAAACTCATAAGCTCTATCCAAATTTTGAATATGCTCAATTAAAACCTGGAAATTAAAAAAAAGATGTCGGCAACCAATAGTTCTAAAAGTTATAAACATACATTGCTATTAATCTCTTAAGCATGATAGTAAAAGAAGAATTAATTATTAGAATGATGAGCATCATTAGCTGAATAAAATGTAATAATTATTTTGATAGTAATAAGCGTATATCGTATTTCCTTTCATTTTGCTCAAAAGATTTAAGACTAAATTTTTTAATTATAAGATTTTATTTAATGAATTTTATACATAAAATCTTTATTTTCCTACTTTCTTACATAAGTTTTGGTAAACTGTTTTCATTACATCCAATTAATCAGTCAGCACAGTAGTTCGGATAACAACTACCCCCCGCTGGAAAGAATTTCAAACAAACAGGTGTAAATATTATCTCTTTAACTATCAATACATCTCTCACGGTCACTTAGCAAATGATACACATGAAAAGTATTTTATTGGGGTTATTTATTGGTGTTTAAATATTTTTACCTGGTAATCAGTATATTTCAGTCCAAGTCATTATTTCTTTTCTGCAACATAACAAGTATTCTCTAAGCAGTAAATTAAGTGTTTATTCTCAAATATTAAGATTCCTGGCTAAAGCATGTTCCAAAGGAATACAAATAAAGGACTGCATGGGAGGGGGAAAAAAAAAAAAAAAAAGATGCAAGTGTACCAATTCACATAAAATAGGTCCCTGACAATTGCGCTTTATTAGTATCAGGGACCTATTTTTACATCATAGAACTCCAAGTAAGTATTTACATCTGGCATGCACTAGTATTTCTCAAACATACATGTTTAACCAATCTGGTAAATGCAGGAATTATTGATACCAATCATTTAAAAATTCATAATCCTTAACCACCACCATACTAAGCCTTCCCTTGAAAGACCTTCCTGGGACCATCAACATATATCTTTATTATACAAACTTTATAATTAAACAAAAAATAATTAACACAACATACAGAATAGAGCATAATACAACTTGTATTACATCAATTAATAATACTTATACTTACAGGAGAATAAGTCAACCAGGTTTTGGTTTGGTTTATTTAATTATGGCAAAGCACACTAGGGCTATCTGCCTAAGGGGAGGGATGCCTTGTGGAGGACTTTCTAAGGGAAACTGGCTCGTATACACGTTACACATGGGGAAAACCACGAAAATGCCCATGCAGCCAGCCCTTTCGCAGGATTCGAACCTCAGACCGAACTACCAGTGTTCAGCGACTTTACCGCTCGACTGCTGGTGGGCTCAACCAAAAGGATAATACTTAAATCGAACATAAAAGAAACAGTACTCGTGTCAAAAATACAATTAACAAATATAACATCCATTTCATTCACAAAAATATACTATTCAAAGTTAACATCCAATTTTTATTGTATAAACATGTCATTCGATTAGTTAACCTCTTAAATTTTATGAAAAATTCTTTCTACTATGAGAACAACAGAGTTAATTTAATTACATATTACAAATAATACTTTCATGTCTTGTTATTTCTTTTATCATTCTAACCAAACCCAATTTTGTTACTTTATTTTGAAGAAGTTTTATTTATGTCTAGTTTTATGAAGAGCAAGATTGAATTTTCACATAAAATGTGTTCAATGTCAGCGTCTCATTCAGTAACAAATTTAGCATACAAATATCTTTCATGAATAGAGATACATCCATGTAACCAATAAAAATATTCCAAAATTTCTTTCCAAAGCATTTTGCAACAACAACTTATGTGTATCAAACTAAATTGTATAACGTCTTCGACATAACCACTTTTATTTTAGCTATATGAGATTACTAACCGTTTTAACAATTACTATTTGAGAAGACATTCACTACTCCATGTCCTGAATCCAAAAACTTTCTTTCTAGCCAATATTTCAGCTTGAAACACTGATGCATCAAGAGGAACTTCTATATCATTAACATCCACTTCACCATAACCATCGATTTAATTATTACAGTCCCTTAAATCAAACAAATAACTTTTCCTTTTGAGGCGCTAGAAAAATAGGTTCAAAATTTGAACCCCTTTTAAACGACTATCTAAAATATAATCAGTCCTTCCGATTAGTACACTGAATTGCCTTTTTAGATGCGCACAATTTTTTTCTACACTAGAACTGTTTAGTGTCTAGACCATTTTATACTTGCTAGTCACAATTATGCAACTTGCACATTCAGGATCATTCTTGCAATCTCACCGATTCTGATCTTTTTGTGAGCATCTAATGTAAATCACTTCCTTTACACATTTCTTGTGAAAATGATTAAATTCTTGGCATTAAAAGCACCTTACTACACTGAGGTTTTCTCTAACCGATATCTGGTACCATTTCAAATTAATTTTACTTTTATTAACCCTTTGCGGCACAGTGTGTCCTGTGTGGACACACCTAAAAATTTCTTTCCGTACGCACAGAAAAATCAAATGAAAAAGGATTTATAGGTTACTCTGAACCTTCTTTATTTATAGTAGATGGCAGCTCAACAAAAACCAGTCCATATATTTTAGCCAATGTTTAGTTTTTTAAGATCCTCATTTTTCAAAATCTTCCAGATTTTTTTTTTTAGGGTATAAAAGGAATTGTTTGAAAAGAAATTTCTATGTTATATTTTTGGCTGTATGCTAATCTTATTCTATATTAGTTTAAAATTTTTACCTTGAAATCTTGCCTAAAATCAAACGGCGAACCCTAGGTGTGCCCAGACCGGGCTCACCGATAATCTAGGACAACTGAGAGTCTGTATTCGTTGTTTCTCCCCATCTCATCAGTCAGTTCATTGACAACAATGCTTGTTTCAGCGCTCTTTTCGAAGCTCTATTCAATCAGCGTGCCACTTTGGGCACACCCGCAGAATTAAAACGATAATTGCTTCACAAAATTTTACTTGTTACCTCTAGGCCTAATTAGACTGCCTACCTTAAAGAAAGAAAGAAAAAAAAAAAAAAAAAAAAAAAAAAAAAACTCCGACTTTAAAAGGTAGTGTGTTGGGAAGGGTTAATGGTTGCCTTAAATTTATGCGGTTGAATATTTGCAATCCTGTAAACTAGAAATTTTGGCCTTTATTGAAAACAGTTTGATATATCCACTTAAGATCTGATTTTGTTCGTTTATGGCTTCTGGAATTTTATTCTTTAATTTTCCATGGATATACAAAATTATTTTAGGCTGTTTCTTCATTAAAGATTTCTCTTAAATCTCATGCTTTAACAAAGGATTAACTTTAATCTCATCTCTAAAACTGTGTTGTCATCTTTAAACATTCAACCACAATGCCACCATTGTGAATTTTACGTATGTTTATAATTCTTATCTTTAATTTCAACAGGATCAACTGTTTCAACAATTTTTTGTTATTTCTTTCGAGAATGTTCCCTTTTTATGTGGATATAATAGAAAAGGATTCCCCCCCTTTTTTAAAGTTTTATCTCATCTCTATAAAATCTTATCATGAATCTTTTGTTCCTTTACAATATCTGTGAGGGATTTTTGCAATATTTGTTGTGGTTGCTTAGCCTTAATAACATAGTGCATCTGTTGATATGAAACTAAACCCTTCATTTAACACATTATCCTATTCAACTCATCTGTTCTACCAGCTAATTCAAAGCTCTTGGGAACCAATGAAGTTACTCAGCTCTATTAATAAGTAATTGGGCACAAGCAAACCCAATATCACATTTGATAGAGATGCCCATGGACAGCTATTTCAGAAATATTTTAACCTGAAAATAAGTTAGAACTCCCTCATTCACTTCTTAGTGATAGCTAATAAGAGTTACATACATCAATGACACATATCAATCAGTTCACCGATTTAGTGACATGGAAAAGCCACGAATACAATATTCACACTACACTCAAAATTTAAGACCATGGAAAAATTCCCATACAGTTTGTGAATACTGCATGATTTATCCTTCTAGAATGGCTACCATGCCAAATTTAAAGCCAGGAACTATTATTCAGAAAGTAATGTTTAATTTTATAAAACATCCAGTACATCAGGTCAAAGAAAATAAAGACTGTTTTAAATCTATGTTAAACTCTATATCGGCCCATTTTCTACCCAAATCCAATTGACTTTGATTTTAAATAAAGAGTTTTAATTTATGATTTATTGCGAAAATTTAGGTGTAGATTAATGGCATTTAAAATCCACCAAATCTGCAGCTGTGGTGGCATTAATACGTAAGTACCGAAACAATCTACAACACATTAGAGTACAAAGTCTGAAATTCAGACTTCCAATATCCAGAATGATTAAAAACCAGACCTACAAAAAACCAGCAAACTTTATTTTTCTTTCAGAAATACTTTTTTTTGGGGGGGGGTACACTCTATGTATACACATTTGATGCTTTTTGATCAAAGACGTGCAAAGACTTGATTCTTAATTTCACCTTGGCACTAAATAAAATACCTCCATAATAAAGTAGTAGTAATTTAATAGTATAAATATGTATTATCAACAATTTGGCTATGTAACAGCTATATCAGATAACATGGTAAACTTTTATGTTGGGCATTATGCCCAGTGATGATTACCAACTTTGGCTTACTACACTGATAAGTATTGAAGAGAAATTTAACAGAAATTTGTTTCCCTACAAAAAAAAAAAAAAAAAAAAAAAAAAAAAAAATTTGATTTTGAGATAATGCCAAGACTGGCATCAGCTGTTATGGCAGAATTTAGGAAAGGTAAAATTTTTAGAAAAGCACCAAGTAAAGGAAGGCATAAATTTTCAAAACTTAGGGAGTACTTGCAGCAGAATTTCAAGACCTGCAGAGATTGCACTGGGCCACAAAATGTCCTGCATTGGACTTGGATAAGCCTTAAGTATATGTGAGAATTCATTCTGGACTTGGATAAGCATTAAACTTGTGCAGGAAATAGGCATTAAGTATAACAAATAGCTAAACTAATTTAATTCAGGCTTACATTCATACGCATGCTATAGAAGCAAAACAAATATAGTGAAATAACATCTTCAGTCTCAAAATACACAACCAATAGTGCACAGCAGACACTAGCTAAGCTTTATGATAAGACAGCAAATACGAAGGTTTTCAAACATCATAAACAAAAAGCGAAATTTTCCAATTAATGGAATTTCTGAAGAAATCAAGAGAAATAGAAATATATGAAGATGACATAAACTTTCCATTTGTGATGACAATGCCCTAACCATCAATCAACTAACAAATAGCAAAATCTATAATACGGTTCTAAATCCATAAAATATCTTTATCAATATTAAAAACAGTGATAGCAAATGAAAAATTGATTAATGGGAATTCTTCGCACTTAATAACTAAACTTGAAGAATGGAACTTAACAAGAAATTGTGTCTGTCTATAGAATTAAACAGAAAGTATTAGCACAAAAAATCAAGCATTTTAAGCAACATATAATGAAAAAATATTTAATAAAGCAAATAAACACTGATTTTTTTTTTTTAATTTTAATTCCCTTATAGTCATAAATGCTTCCTAATTTTTACTATTTCACACTTTAAGCCATCTTATTAGATTTAAATTGATGATCTAATATCCAGAAAAATTACAAATTTGGAATTGCCAACTAGAACAGATTTCGGACTTAGAACTGTACTTTAGCAAATTATTTTTCGTAAGTCTTAATTTATTCAGTCTTTGAAGGAGTCTTAATTCTCACCAACTCATAATACAAGAACAAAGAGTCAATAAGTTTGAAATTATTTTAATTTCCCTAACAGAATATAAAATAATCTAACACTTTTTATATCAAATACAAATTTAACATACCTGAATAGCAGATGTATTTACATCAAATTTCTTAAAAATTGCAAAAGCTTCTTCATATAATTCACTTCCAATGGCAATATTAGCAATATCTGGAGCATCATAATTATCAAGACGATTAATGTACTCCATTACTCTGGTACGGTCTGCTTTTATAGCAGTCAGAATCAAGAGATTCTGAAGGTTCCTAAAAATACAAAAAAAAAATTTTTTTTTCAAACATATATGTATATTATAATAAAGAACTAAAAATTTATTAACACTTAAGCAGGGGGAAAAAAAAAAAAAAAAAAAACAAGACTTTAATCTAACAGTCATGTTACATTTTAAAAGTGTTTACATTTTGTCAAAGGGCTTGAAAATACAAAATAATGTTCTATTCCAGCCAATTATTAAAAATGTTAATAGCACAGAAACAAAAAATCCATACAAAATAAATGCGCAAAGACCAAAACACATCTGTGAATAAACTGCACATAACTATTATATAAAAGAATTACCTATGATCACTGAAAACTGAATTTTCCAGGACAATCTTTTCCAATAGCTCAATTAACTCATTTGGCAAGTCAGCAGTCATGAAAGCCTTCACAGTCACAGATATGTCTTCTGGATCTTGTGTTTCAGAAAGAGCTGTTTGAACAACCTGATCAATAAGTGGTCTCCTATATTGATTATTTTCATTTAATACTTCAGCCCAAAGTTCTTGATCACGTCTTTTTACAAGGTAGCGAGCTTCACTTTTGAAAAGAGAATTTTCATTACACACTTTAATAAGTTCTCGATCACACTGGCCTCGTTCGTAAGCCATACATGCTAGGTGAGGGTCTCGTTTTTCACAGTATTTCCCAACGACCCTGCTATCATAGTACTGGTTCTCCCTGTAATACAATACATGATTAGCAGAATTACATAAAATATATTTAAAAATTTTCAACCATTGGTTTAAGTAACATTTATTAATATTCTTAAAAATATAATAAACTGATCTTATGTTAAAACACATCTAAGCTCTCCCCCCCCCAATTTGAGCAATAAATTCTAAAAAATACCTGCAGAATGGCATTAGAACTGTAAATTTTTGACTTTCTCCGTAAATTTTGCACCAAATTTAGTATTTAGGAATAATTTGAGTCTTGGAATCGAAATACGGAAAAAAATTGGCCTGTCATTTCAGAAGAAGTTAGATTTTGTGGCAAAATACTTAATTAGAACAATGCTATATATAAATGTAACACATATCCTAAGCTGCACTTTCGAGACATGAAAAATGGAATTTGAACTTCGTCAATTGGCCCAGTAGAACAGGAGATATAGAACTGTCACCCCCCCTTTTTTTGCACAGTGTACCTCAATGAAAAATCAAACAATCTTCTTTTATGTAAACAAAACATTACACTCGCACAAACCAACATATTTGAAAAGGGGATAAAGATATTAATTTATCTGCGATTTAAAAGTTAATATTTAAAACATTTCAAATGAGTAAGTACTGTATTTTCAATTGACACAGTACCTTGGCCACAAGGAGTAAATTTGTTTTAATCTGAAATTGTAAAAAAAGATATAATATACAGTAGAAGAAAATTAAAATTATGCTACCATATGATTATTCAAACATTTTAAAAAACAAAATTATATTTAAATTGGAAGATGCTTTTCTACAGCTATTATCAAATGTATAAAACAAAAATTTACTACACCTAATAAAGAAATAATATTGATTAGGTATAAGTTTATTTTACATATTATACAGCTGGTAGACCAGAGATTCTATAATTGCAAATGTGTAATCTGACCAGACTATATTGATTTCCAACACTCTAGCTAGCATATATTTTACAAAATTTAATATTCCCTAATTATGACTTTCAGGCTATCCCCCCCCCAAAAAGAAAAGAAAAAATACAATCAAAAGTTTATCAACTTATATAAAAAAACTTTAAAAATATTAAGTTCTTACTTTAAGAATCGCTCAGGATTATTATTGGAGTCTATATATATTTTAGCAAGAGCATTATGAGTGGCAGGCTCAATGCATCCTTCATGAACCCTCATCTCTAGCCAAGGCAATAAAAGTTTTAATCTATTCCTCTTTTCAACCTCCTCAACAAGCTCATCTGTGGAAAACTGACCTCGCACAACCATTATCAAAGATTTTATTACATCCTCAGAGCAATCGACATCCAATAAGCCTCCAATGACAACAGGGAGTCTAGATGGGTTTACCTGGAATATGAGAAAGATTAAGTACATTTTATAAACTCATTGAGTTTAAAGACCAAATGTTTAACAGAATTAATTTCAATCAACATTTACTATTTGATCTCACTTGATATTTTGATACTTTTTCCTCAAAGCAATAAAGATACAAACTCCTTTACAGATATTGCGATAAAAACTATTTCTCTCTAAAGCAATACTTGATAGTATAAGTAAAGAGAAATACAATTTCCCACATTAAACTACTTAGATTAAACAGTATGTTCTAAAATTTGACTAGAATGTGATACTGTTTTTAATTTAAAGACATATACATTTAATTCTATTTACAGGGGACAAAAATAAACCTCTAGTACCACAAACTTACCTTTTGTACATAGATTTCAATATACTTTTGCAGATTATTTCTATATAAATATAATACAAGATCATGAACGAAATCAAATCTGTCACACACAATAATGAGGGGAAGCTGGTCGGTTAACTTTGCTTCTTTCAAGAAATTTTTCACTCTTTCTGGATTATAACAATTGCTTTCTCGGCAAATGCGTTCAACTTCCTTAATTTGTCCAGTTTTACATGCAGACTGAAAAATAAAATTAAGTAATTAAGAATTCATTTCAATAACTTGTATGGACTATAGAAATTCTTAATACATTGCTTATAAAACCTCATTCGTTACCTGAATATATTTGAAGTGTACTTCTGGATCTTGACTAAAATTAACAATGGATCCCAAGAAGTAAAAAAGGCCTAAAAATCACATGCTCATGGTAAATATTGAAAAACATGGCACACATTACAGATACATACAATTATGCAATACTCTTACAACAAAATTAATTCCTTAAATTATATTTAATATTGGAGAATAAAGAAAAATTAGCATGCATGAATGCTAAAAATCACATTGACATGAAAGGGAATTCACACGAAATTCACATGAAAGGGAAAAAATTCTTACCTTCATAACTTTTAAATGATTCAAACAAATCTATAAGGGCAGTCGTCGTTAACTGTTCATGGTATTTTGTTGCCACCTGTACACATATCTGCAGATTTTGTCTAATATTATGGCTCAACATAGCTTTCAGACACTCAAGTGAATCTTCAACAGACAAAGAGCCAAAGTAGTTTACTAGCCACTGTGAAGCAAATAAAAAATAACTAAATATATCAACAACATAAAAAATCTTATGTTGTAGAGCAAAAACAAAAATTTGTTTCTGCATTATAAAAGACAATATATATATCTAACATATATGACCAAAACATACTCGAGATCAGTTAGGCATTTTTTTTTAACATGGCAACAAAACGTTCATTTAGTACACCTGGCCACCTTCCTTACCTTATATGGTTACATTCACTGCTTAAAACGTTTGTTCTGTGTACACTGAAATTACAAAACTCTTTCAAAAAGTTTTGTTTTATTGCATTTTAACATAACAGAACAATTCCCCCCTTTTAAATTATGAATTTCAAAACATTTTTATTTGATCCTTTGATAATCTTACATATCTGACAATACATATAACAAATATTCAGATAATCAGAATCCTACAGTATTTTTATTTAAACTTCAGGTTAACCTATACCATAGACAGAATTAAAAAAATCACTTAACAGTTTAATTACTGAATAATTTTAATGCAAAGTAAAGAAAATAAATTTTTAAGCTATTGTATTTTTTAAACAAATTACATAATAAAGTTACACAGGGCTAGAGATTTCATTTCTCTTTTTAATTATATTACAGGTTTTCTCCCATTGTAAAAGTGTTCAAAATACTTACTACAGAAGCCAATAGTACTTTTCTGGCAGACAAAAATACACAAGTCTAACACCTGCATTACCGCCGCCAGAAATGTTTCTCATAACACATCCTTCACAAATTTTCAAATGCTCTATGTCTTATAGTATATATTTTTTATCTTAATACTTAAGGACTTTCAGTAGAGCAGTATAAAATAATCAGATCACACTGAAACCAAAAATTCCCCATTTTCTGAAGAATACAAAGCTATAAGCTACCGACTAATGACCAATCTCCTTTTTTGCTTTACATTTCAACTAAGCAGGCATATATTCATAAAAAAGATCTGCATTACTCTAGTAACAATTATAAGTTCGCATTTATTTAGAAATATAAATTTCTTAACAATCTTCATAATTTCTAATATTCAACTAAAGATTTCCTTGATATATATTAAAAAAATTTTAAATCCTAATATTACAAAAAATAAACTCACTTCAGAATTCAATAAGTGTGTATGAACAATAGCTCTTTTGATATCGTATAGATCTGTATAATGCTCCAATGCCTATAAGAAGAAAAAACTAATTTGCACAATATATTAAAAATCTTAAATTCAGTTACAGATCTTATTTATTACCACATACAAGCAATAGCATATATGTCTGAAAATTCAATGAATATTGGAAGCAATCTACAAATAAGAAAATTACATGAATCTCCCTCGCATAAAAACAATGATTTGATTCTTTATTCTTTAAAAAGGCATGTGGAAGGCAAAAATTGTTAATTACATATTTAATACAGAAGTCAGCCACATTTATTAAAGATTGTTCAATAAAGTATATACATACTCTTTGTAAAAGACCAGCTTTTTCACAAAGTTGAGCTACATGAGCTCTGTCATAATGAGTAAACATTTGATTGCCCAAGATGGCATCAGCAACCTAAATAATGAATATAAGAATTTTAATCATATTCCATCATAAACATATACAGTTTAACTTATGATGTGTTCGAAAAATAAAGTGCAGAGGAAGTCTTAAATCACTATAGGTTTTACTACACACTAAACTTTTATATATGTAAATATTCAATGTAATTCTTATTCTACATTAAGTTGTTAAAGGGAAGTTAACAATGCAACATAAAATTACTTTTATACAGCTAATACAGCAATAAATTTTAAATACAAACTGTAGAATGAAATTTACCTGCGGAGCAGCAACAAGGTTCATTTCCAAAAGTCGTGTCTGCAAATTCCCTTCGGAGGGTCTGTTATTTTTTAATGCATCAAGCAAGAAAGCTGTGCATTGTGGAACTAAATTCTGCTCCATGAAAATGTCAACAATCTGGAAACATGTATACATGCATGTCAGTATAAATTCAAAACCCCCATAAAATTAAATGTAAATTAATGCAAAATTACATCCAATTTCATTTTTGAATCATACTTGATTAATATCAGCCAGTGGTTCATCATCCTGCACTAACATCTGAGCAAATGATGCTCCTTGATCAGGATTTATTCTCATCACTTGCCTCAACAGCCCAATGTAATCCGGTGTAAATCCAACTTTTTTAGCATATAATACTATTTTCTGAAACTGGCCAGTTTCAGCGAAGCACTGTATAACCTGAAAAAATTTATAAATAAAAGAAAGGAATTAAAACAAAGCAATTGCAACAGCCGCGACCATGAGTACAAATACGCATCAGCCACCTGGATCGATTTATTACTGAAATAGAGGAGGGATAGAAATTATGTAGTAGGGATTTTTTTTATGTTCATCATTTTCATTCATCTCCGTTCATTGAATGCAGATTTAAAAAAGCAGAAAATTACTGTAAAAGTCACATAATATAAAAATGCTAATCATGATTAGTAATTAACAGTTCAATTACATTTTTGCACATTTACTTATTTATATATTGGTAAAAATAAGAGTTTTCAAAATTTAATTTTGCTATATATATATACATACATTTTAAAAAGTAACAAATAACTGTTACTGTATAATGATCGTTATTAAAATTAATTATATTTTAGTGTATAATTTACACTACAATATTATTAAATGAATTTAATATAATAAATAAAACTGATAATAATTTTATGATAATAAATAATTATAAATAATTATCGTCTCTGAGCTATGTATGTACAATAACATACACAGGGGAAAAATCCTTAATTAGTTAAAATCGAATGACAATAAATGATTATAGTTGTTAATTAAATATATATAATATAATTCTTTTTGCACTAAACTATATATGAATTATACATATTTAAATTAGGGGGAAAATTTTTAGTGGGAAAAATTTTCTTGTAATAACTATAATAATTTTATGATAATAAACAATATTATATATATACTTTAATTATTACATATCTGAGAAAACATACGCATAGTAACTCATTTGGGGGGGAATTGGTTAATTACTTATGCGATAATAAATGATTACCATGGCTATTTAGTTATTTAATTACAAAAAATATATTTCCTTTTGCACTAAAATCTACATGCATTATACATACTTGAATTTGGGGGAAATGATATTTTAGGTGGAGAAAAGGAGGGAAGGAAAAAATTCTTCTACAGAAGATCATAATACTGGCATGGGCTGGAAACCAGCTTTTCTTTTTAAACTATAGTTTCATTATTTTTAAAAGTAAAAAATGGAATACGCATTATTCACGTAAAATTCATATATTATGGAAAACATATTCAACATTTTTGCTTTCTGGAGTTGCAAATTAATGCTAATCTTTGTATTTATTTCTGCAAATATGAAACAAATTTACAGAATATTAGTGATGACAGGAAGACCTGATGGCACAGGGACTTTTTCCTCTTTCAATAGTATTCCTTCTTGCCGGCAAATTCTAAGTGTTTTAGCAGAATGCCAGCCAAGGTTCTAAGTGTTTAGTCAGTCAAGCAATAAAAGAACTTTTTATTTAAAATCAAAATAAAAAACTATTTCATAAAATGTATAACATAGAAATATATAATATATCATATAACTATACATAATCATAGCATAGAACATACCTTAAAATGAGTGAAAAGTTTAGTGGAAAAGAAGAAACAGGTTTTTAAATTTTAAATCAACAGCGAGTTTCAAAATCTACTTATCAGAAAATTTTAACTATTTTGCCTTAAAAAATTATCATTAAAAACATATACAAAAATCACAGTGAACTAATGAAAACATTTACCTTATTTGGCACATTAGCACGCAGATATACTGATAAGGCTAAGGTTGGATCTACTTGTTTCACTAAATCACCAAGTTCTTCACTGCACTCAAGCTGTAAAACACATAACTAGAAATTAAAAAACAAGATAGTTATAAAAAAATTTGCTAAAAATTTAGCATTTTGTTAACGTCAAAATAAAAACAAATTTAAAGGTGATTCAAATTTTAAAAGTCAAGAATTAGTTAAAAACTTGAATTCTTTTTAGTTGTTAAAAAATGAACAAACCTTATCTCAGTACAGACTTTTATAGTAACATAATATGTGTCCATGGAATCAATTAAAAGAGCAAATTATTTCAAACACATTTTAATTAAATTTACAAAATTTTATTTATTTCACACATTAAAAATAATTTTATTCACTGCTTGAAATCACTACTCACATCAGGTACAAGGGCAATAGATAACAGTAATGCAATTTTTAAAATTCGCTAATGTTACATTCATTACTATCAAAATCTTAAAAAAAATTCAAAGTGCACTTTTCATACTTTCTACTCGTAAAATTCAGAAAAGATGACCACAACCTACACTCAATATTAAGAGAACAATATAACCACATATAACTCAAGAAATATATCGATGTAAGTTAAGTTCACTTAAAGATAAAAACATACAGTAAAGTCTTCCAACATTGACAAAACTACCTACAGATTTGACAGAATAATCTAAAAAAAATAAAATTTTTCACACTAATTTTAACAGATGAGTTATACCTTATCATCTTTTAACCACTTTTCCAACAGCTGCTTACGTCCTTGCTGCAAGACAGGACGACAAAGTTCCAAAGATTCAAACTTATTCAATTGCCCTTGATCAAGAAGTATCCCAAAATACTGTAAAAGTGGTGCTGTTTGTCCAGCTTGAGAGGGGACTTGTTGAAATCTCTGAATAGTCTGTGGTGTTCTTAAAATTCCCTATGATAATTGAATAAAAATGAAAATCACTATGATTAACAGTTAGAATTATCTGTTCCCCCCCAAAAAAAAAGCTATAAAAATACTTTGTTTTACACCTTACAATTCATATTTCATTCAATTCTCATTGTTATTGAAACAAGTGTATAAAACTTGACACTATGTGCTACATACATACAAGGACATAAAAGGTAAATTACAGAAACGTCAGAATGATTAAGATTTTCAATCTTATAATTTATAAGTAATGTAATTAAATACAACTGCAAAGAAAACATTTAGCATTTATTTTATTAACAAACTACAACTTAACAGAGTGGTACTACTCTCATATGAACCATTTTTTAGAAATGGTGAGTTTAATGGTAGTAATGAATAAGAATAATGTTGCAACACACAAGATCTTCACCTTGGTTTTACATTACACGGATAAATTTTCAGTAAGGTACGTTTAAGAAGAAGGATAAAAGTTAACTACTATTTCCATTTCCAACTTGCATACTGAAAAAAATTGAAAATTCAGAGGGGAGGGGAAAATTAAAAAGAGTCAAGTTTGTTCATTTTAGGACAGAAAAGTAAAAAAGATTAAAGTTAGGATTTTATTTTATATATCATCCTCTTCAAAGAGAATGTGGCAGAATAGACTTTTTAACAAAAAAAATTCTCTTGTTGATAAACATTAAGCTCTGATTTAACTCTGATAAGTTTAATTTGATTAAGCTCTGATAAGTTTAACTGATTGGCATGATATTTCACCAATGGTTATGGGTTGCTTGAGCAGCTAATTAAAAAGGCCTCCATTCTATGCAAGGATAACTAGGCCTTAGAGAACTGTATTAAAACATACCTCTCCTAAAATTCTATAAAAAATATCACATTAATTCTTAATATTAACCTTCATCTTCTGTAAATATGAAGATATAAAATGAACAATTATTCAAACATAAAAATAATCCTCTGAATTTGAGCCAATATCCCTTACAATCTACTCTTCACATTCAATTAACATATTGTTTATCATACGTTTTGATATTTTATACTACTCACATTCATTATTTTGTAATTTTATAATTTGATGCTATCATAATTATTTTTATATTCTTTTATAATATTCAAAATTACATTCTTTTATTTCAACTTCAATACTATTCAAAATTATTTCATTCATGTTTCATATTTACCTCATTCTCAAAATAACTCAAAATTTCTAGAAATTCAAAATTAATTACATTAATCCAAACTAAAATGGTGAAAATTTCTCTCATTAAATTCACTTCACATGAATTCTGAAAATTAAATTTGATATTTCCATGAAAACAGCAACACATACTTAAAAGGCATTCAATGATAATTTAAAATATTTTAAGGTGTACTAATTAATAAAGCAATCACTATTTCCTTGCTACGAACAATTTTAAGCATACACGTTAGCAAGCATATAAAATTAAACGAATCCAAAAATTTCAAACTATGTAAAGTAATTCTACAGTTATATTAATTTTTAAATAATTTATAAGCTTTAGCTGAATAACAAAGTAAATTTATACAAACTATATAAATTCGCTGTACATCAACATTTTATCACTGAATATTACATAACTAACAAAATAATGCTTGTCAAAGACAGACATACACAATTAAGCTGGTTAAGACATTTTACTGTTCTTGAATAGTTTCACGGATATTTTTTACATTTTTTTAAAAAAAGATCAGTAGTGGACAGCAAAGCCGAGAAAAAACGGCCTTGTTACAGTAATGAAAGTTTGGTTAAGAATAACAATTTTGATTTGACCTCATTTCCTATTGGCTAATTAAAATTTCCGAATTTTAACATTATTAGCTGAAGCATTATGCAAAAATGTGAAAAGATACACCTTAATAATTAGCACATAACTATTTTTAGAACAAAACGAGTAAATCCCAAACAGGAAATTTCAGAGGTTATTTTAAATCTAAGTTAGGATGTTTTTATACCTTTATCTTACATAGGTACACCACACTTTCCATTCAAAAAAAGGGCTCCCTTTAAAATGTCATGATGAGTTTAAGAAATAAAAATGCAGGTGAATGTTTGATCACAGCATGGTTCTCATTAGAATTAAATATAATCTACTTAAATGGAATATTTTACAGGAAGTAAAAATAGAAAATAATTATAAATTTGTTATGGGTATACTAGTAACCAGTCTAGTGTATGCAAGCTTAATAAAATAGCTGAACTAGACATATAATTAGCAGTTGTTATGTAATTTTATTATAATTAACCATACATTTATTTAGTATATAAACAGTGCAATTGTTTTAAGTAGTATTTTAATTATCATAAATTAAAGTATCTTACAATTTCATTTACTAAAAATATCAATCACTACTTATAAGATTAGTACCAATTTTTAAAACAAAAATATAAAAGGAAATGGGATATTATTTAAAAGTATACACTATAGTAAAGCCCATTCAGCAATAGAAGCTTTCCTTTAAAAAATAAATAAATAAAAAAGAGGCAAATAAAATACTTGCACTGTTACATCAAAACAGTGTGATTTGTGCCAATAACGGCATTAAATCACACTGTTTTGATGATGCGAAGTAACGTTGAAGTGAACTGGACTCTTAACATAATTGCAAGATCTTCATATCATAATCATTTTTCCTACACATTTTGAAAACATGATTAAAATTTGGGACTTCCTGTCTGCAAAGCAGCATGAAGTGAACTATTTTCAAAATTACAGAACCTGACTTTAAGAAAAGTGTGCAATACAAGATTTTGTTTGAAAATTAATAAACAACAGTGATGCAGCATGAAGAATTATACCAAGTGATTTAAATTTTTATTTATTATTCTATAAATATGATCTGTCCTTTAAACTTTTGCCAGAATGCTTTAGACTTGCCTGCTAGTACCTTCACCTACTTTTACAGTTCAGTAGGATTTCATAACAGGATAATTTCTTTCATATGTTTAAATACAAACATCAGTTTACATGATCAGTTTTTTTCAAATTAAAAATGTACTTATTTTTCAAAATCTTAGATAATTTTAAATTTACTTTGATAACAAATAAGCTGATCATTTATTAAATTTTAGAATGGAAATTTCTGCTAATTATTTGGCTTTTTTATCCTGGGGAAGGGGGAATCAACATTTGGCAGCTTCACCCATTTGCTAACTAATAATTGCAAACAATCAGAAATAAGCTTCATATGGTCCTGCAGCTTTACTTAGCTCATCTTTCAAAAATATTAAAAGGGATATGGCCAGATTACTGCACAGAACTTCTCGGTGAACCAGCAGGTCACTGACTAATTACATAATGAAATCTAAGAGCCTTAAAATACACTTTTACCCAAATATTACAAGAATAAAATATTTACATTTTGTGAATATCCCATTATTTACAAGCTACAATATTAATGAAATATTATGCTTTTAAAAAAGCCACCACATTAAGAAAATGTATGCAAAAGATTTTTAAAAGGCTTATTTATGGATAAATTGCAATATTTCTATTCTCTTTTCTTTTACACTCATGTAGCCCTGAAAAAGTACTTTTCACTATAAGACTGTTGGTGAAAATTGTGATACGATTCCCTTTACTGCAAATGTCTTAATTTTGAAAAATAGATCACCATCATTTACTACATTCAATGCTTATCACTGATCAACTGACAACAGTCTGATAACAACCTCTCACTTTCTTGATGTTGCTAGATTTACAACTTAATATCTGTGTCACCATCCATGACAGCCTCTTGTGTTCCATCTAATAACATCCATCCACTTAAGAAATATTTAATGTGCTCATCTAATCAAGTACTCAATTCCCCTTTGAAACGAATACAGTCAAAAGTCGTTAATTCGGACACCCATATTCGGAATGATCTATAATCCGGACCTCAAAGCTACAAATTTTCTGCACATGCACGTAAGACCTTTACACCTGCGAATATGCGTTTGCGCGTGTGCAAAATACGTTTACGCATGCACGTTTAATGTATAACGGACGGTATAAGCTAAGCTAAAATTATCTAATTCAGTTAATGTTGAGATTGCGTTGTTCCTTAATCTTTGAATTGCATCCGGCTTATTATTTTTTGCAGACTGTTAGAGCAATTTTATAAAAAATAAGCTTGAACTTTCGATTATGTCAAATAGAATTTTCGATATAATTCCGATAAATATTTACTAATATGTAAAGGATCTAAAAAGTGAAAGTATGTTTCGAAGTCCATTAAACAAAAAGTGGAAGTGCTGCAAAAAAATGGATAAAGGCATATCCTTTGTTTCTCTAAACTTTAACGTTTGTTTATCATTAACCCTGCGGCAGGCGTGCAATGAATTGGAAGTTGATCTGTCAGCACTATCCTTATCTTCAGGGCAGATGTTTTTATTTTATTTGGCTTATAATTCCTTACTAAATGTAGTATTTCATCTCTATGTACTCTGATACGATTTCAAAATTCAAATTCCTCGTCATTATAATTCGCTTCCGATAGCGAAGAGTGACAAAGAGGTTTTTGAAAACGAAAAAATTTCGATTGACAAATTAGTCAATATTCTCGACACAGCAATTATAGGACTTGAACAGCGGAACTTTATAACTGAACAAGAAATTATGTCTGTTTATAGAATTAAGAGAAAATATTATCACAAAAAAATGAAGCAACTTAAACAACTTACATTGAAAGAAATGTTTAATAAAGTAAACAAATAAATATTAAGCTTTTTTTTTTTTTTTTTTTTTTTGTAAATTTTGATACCCTTTAGATCATAATTGTTCTTTATTTTATAAATTACGGTTTCATATTTTTAATTTTATAATTTCTGCATGCCATCTTACCAGATTTAAACTGATGATCTATAATCCGGAAAAACCGATAATCCGGAATCGCCGAATCCCGACGAGTCCGGATTAACGACTTTTGACTGTATTAACATCTTAAAAAAGACAAAAACTGTTCAGTTTCAATATTTTGAACAGCAAAATCATGATAAACCTTCAAATTGGTAACTTCAATTTCCTGGCAACAAAATATTTTCTAAAAATGTCACACAAAAGCAGTTTTATAAAAAGTATATCTACAGCAACTGACAACAATTTTAAAAAGTGCATCAAAAGAGAAGTTAGTACATTTATTTAACAAAAATCTTCGACGATATCAAGAACGCTTTTCATTAGTGGACAGTTGAACAGAATGTTACATTAGGCCAAGATTATAACAATCTACAGCTCTACCAAAGTATCCCAACATTCTTAATTTTTTAAACCTCATAAATTTTCTGATTTTACAAATATAACTATCATAAAAGTTTAAACTCACCTTTGGAGCATTTGCTGCGACTTTCGCTGCTTCAGCATACTGTCCATTTGTAAATAAAGTGTTGAACTTTCTAACAAATAAGTCTTCAGCACCAGACAGATTATTACGAACAGCCATTCGAAGTGCAAGATCTGGATTTTGTAAAACATTATTGATGTACGGAATAAAGTTCTCTTCTTCAACACTTACTGATAGTACCTACAAAAAATTACATCTCATTTAATGCTAAGTGCATGAAATAATGCATATGCTTTATACATGAAATAATGTACCCCAGAATTAAAACTTTCACAGTATTATATTTTTAATGCATGAAGGTTTCTTCTCAATATATCAGTTTACAGTTAATAATTTTCAAAACGTAATACTTACAAGTGCTATTTTTCATTTTTCAAAGGTCCATTTTGTAATATATATATATATATATATATATATATATACCAAAAAAATTTCCAGAATTCATATATAATTCCCCATTTGTCTACACAATTTCTTCATCAGCTTAAACACATAATGCAATGGATGAGTTTTGGGATCTCCTAGCTACAGAACTCTTATGACGGCTGGTTATTTATGATCATTTTTAATTCTTCACCAATAGTTTTCATTTTTTATACAACCTGCTAACAAATCTCTGAACTGCATGAAAACTGGATCTCAACTGCCTGCACCAAATCGTTAGAGATAACAGTTGGTCAATCAGAATGAGATTCATTATAGCCATTTTCCCAAGCTTCCTTGAACAATCTTTCTCATATTCACACTTTACCATCATATATACTTCACATATCTGGTGATTATACATCCACTTTCTAGCCAGAACCAGACGAATGACTATTTCACAGTCATCTGGTTCTCAATAAATTAGACTGGCTCATTTTACAGTTAGGGATGTGATTTTCTTAAAACACTTTTACCTCAAAATACAAAACATGCAAACTGATGCTTTGAATGCGAATTATACGAGATTCTGCATAAAGAATGCTGGAAGCCTGCATAAAAAATTTCACGCAGTATTCACAAACGGGCCCTATTTATAACGCATCCTTTGTAAAATGATATCTTGCTTTAAATTATGGATTAATAAAATTTCTGAAAATTGAAAAAATACTCATTCCTCAAGATCTAATATATAATTAAGAAAATGAAATCTTGAAGACCTGTTTCTTTTTGTAAATTTAAAAAACAAACCAAATACTTTGTATTTTAATAAACAGTGTTTCAAAATTTCTCTTGAAGGGTTAGTCATGTAGACGTAGTCTCAGTCCAAAAATGAATCAAATGAAGAAGTTTATTATGATAGTTTTGGTCTTCGGACATTTTTTAATAAAAATACATACTTCAATTTTTATACAAGGTCTCTTTAAAGAAAGTTACAGTAAGTAATTTCTTCACCACCTTACTTGTTTTTTATTTATTTATTTCTAAGAATTAGTTGCAGTGATGAGAAACTCATTGTGAAAAAAATCAAAATTTAATAACTTGAACCATATTTACTTGAAAAACAAACTATATGAATTTAGCTGCTTTATAAAACTGAATTTCATTCTTTACAAGACTGCTATTCCAGATATAGGAATTTGAAACTAATGACTCTAAAATTAATGTTTTTAACATAAAAGTACCTTTTAGGAAACTTAGCATATGTAACTAGCATTACTTGTATATGGTTCTAAAAATGTAATGAAATTTTAAACATGTAACAGGAGGAAAAGAGCCCCTCCCTGCAACAACAACAACAACAAAAAAAAAAAAAAAAAAAAAGCGGGGACAGGAGGAGAGAAAAGTAACTAATTTGACAGACAAAATTTATTTCCCTCCTTTCAAAACCAAAACAAAAATTTTAAAAGTTTCACAGTATTTTTACTGTAAGGTATTTCATAACTACCAGGTAACAGACCTACATACATTTTTAAAATGAAATCATGAGCAAAAATATACACAAGATGTTGAACAATACAACCTTTCTTAAATATGCTCCATGTAAACTGCATAAGTATTTTATAATGCAATATTTTCTCTTTAAGGGAAGTCTTAACAACTCATCTCTGAAACAAATATGGAGACAATTGTCTGCTAAAATTACAAATTCTATGAGGCGAGTTCCGTGCATAATAAAAAATGTTAAATAATAATCCAAGGTAAAATTATCAATGTACAAAGCCCAAAAAACTCTGAACAAATAAAAATCAATGTCAAAAGCATTTTTCAATTAAAAAGGAACTCTTTTTCAGGAAAGTCTTATACTGAGGCTTCATAGCAGGCATGGCTAAACTGTAGCTCACAAGCAGCATTCAATTTTTTAGCCCTAAAATTCGACTCTCTTGCAGCAAACATTTTTATTTTTTAAATATATCTTGAAAATTATATAATGTCTGGAAACAAATTGAGCAGACAGGCTTCTTTATCAATCAGTAATTTAATGAGTAATTCTTAAATTACAAAATGTGTATTAAATATTTAAACAATTTCAAACTGATCATTGTTAATAGTGTAACAAATAAAATGGTAAATAATTTCATTTCTGCAAATTATTCCCATGGACATATTGCATTTAAAAAAATCAATGGTCAAATGGCACAAAAAATAAATGAGAGAAATCTTTTAAAAATTATGCACTATTTTCTCAAATTTATTTAATTACAGTTTTCCTAACAGTTGTTCAATGTAACCCCTTTACTTCTTAATAAATGCAATCTATTGGTTGTTACTTGTATACTCGTGTGCAAAATTAAGATAATTTGCATTTTATGTTGAATTTATGAAATTATGAATGAATTAATGAAATCTGGTATGAATATATATTAACTACTAAGTAAGAGATGTACTTTCAAAAATCACTGCATGTATGGATGATTATCAATAAAATTCATAGTGCAAGGATGTCCTAAATTCACATTGTGATACTGAACAGAAAATGAGTCCTATATAGGGTAAAGTCTGCTCTCACAATCAGACAAGTAATGCAGTATAATAGTATACTGAATAGGAAGAAGGCAGTTAACTCCCTATGGCAATCTGTCCCATTCTTGCAATTAGATGGCAGGCATTCTTCCTTTCTTTTTCCCTAATGGAGATCTGGGAAGGAAATTGGATTCAAGCCACTCTGAGGAGCGTAAACAGGGTTCATAGCCACATTTTAGTTAAAAAAAATAAGCACCTATAAGCACTTTTAAAGCACATTTTAAGGAAAAAATAAGCACCTGTCTAATTACATTATACACAACTGCGTAACCTTAAAAGAAAAATTAGACTTGTAATTTAAAATATGAGCAATGCAATATTTATTACGAGAATGAGCATTACCTCAACAATGAAAAACAATTAACTTTTTTTTTTAAATTTTAAATGACAGTTCAATTTACAGAATTAGTTTACAATGAGAGAAAAAAACTATGCAGAATAATTACAAAATTTAATGATGATATTTTCAGTTGAAAATATAGAAAATCAATAATAATCGAATATTAATTGTATTCGTTGGCACCTAATAATAAATACAACTTATTTCCCACTCATATTAATATTTAAATAATTTAACTTAAATCAAAATTCTGAACATTTTCTAAATTTTCATTCCATAACAGTTTTTCCTTAACATATATCCCAAACAAAGTAATTTAAGTAAAAAAGAGGCACATTTCTGAAATCAGAAGACGAGAAATTGCTTCATGCAGTCATCCTTTAACAGTAAAAGCTTTACTAACCCGCATTCTCGGAAATTCCCGAATATTCCGGATAGTAACTGGAAAAAGAGGAGTGGGGGGGGGAGATAGTAGCCGTTCTTTAGATTTAAATTTAGGCTAAATAAATGATTTTGACATTTTGATGCGTTACTGCGCAATACTTGCGGCATAATTCTTCCATATGTGATATTGCGCAATTGGAATCAACACCTGCCGGTATTCGGAGAATAAAGAACTAAATAAAGGAAAAGAAAGAGACTTACTAATCTAGGGTGTTTCTGATTCTAATTTTCAACAAAATGTATTAAATTTCCGGAAATAGAATCAATCTGGATTGGGTTGGGTTAGACCGCAAAAAACTTTTAGTCCTATTCAATCCAGATTGGACAGTGACAAAAAAAAAGTCCGCTGCTTCAATATTAGAGATTTTGCAGAGAAACTCCCAACCTCCGTACTGTATAATGTATTGGCAAAGAAAAATGAAAATTATTTTGACTATTCGATTACTTTCCTTTTATTTAAGCCATTCCGAATATTATCCTTAGAAAGCTAATCTGTGTAAAAACACACCCTTTTTTGGAAGTTTATGTATACTTCAGCAGTTACTGCTACTATATTATTATAAATATTCATGCATATGCTCATAATATAAGCATAATGATCATAATAAACACGAATATGAAACTGATCACATGCAGGAACAAGAATGCAAATTATAAAAATCTTGATAGAAATTCAAACGTATGTGTAGTATTTGGGTGGGAGGGAAAGAATGCCGAATGTACCGGAATTTTCTACCGTTTTTGCAATTCTTTGACCAATAGAACAACGTGCACCTGTCTGTACTCTCGCGCGCACCATAAGGTTACGTTAATGCAGAGAGAAGGGGGGAAAAGCAATTTCCGGGAGTATTATTCACCATCTGATATTTCATATAAGGAAGAAAAAAGTTGTTTATTTAGTTTCGGCTTTTGGTATGGGGGAAAAAATGCGCGTTCATTAAAAACAAAGGATTTAAAAAAAAGCACTAAAAGCAAAAAATAAGCACTAAAAACAAAAAAATAAGGGCTTTAAAGAAAAAGTAAGCACCTATAAGGGCCTTTATATTTTATTTTCAAATATAAAGACTTATAAGCACTTGTAAGGACCGCTACGAACCGTGGTAAGGACGAACTTCGGATTTCGAAACCAACTAAAATGTACTATCATTAAAGTAATTATCAACTATCACGTAAATACTGTAATTATAAAGATATGTGAAAATAAAAAGTCATTAAGACTTAATTGAAGTTACAATTTGAATCGAATATACATGCAGAAAGAGCTCTCCCACATAGAAGCTATGGATTATAGAAAACATTTTTAGTGGTGCCTTCACCAAGAGACTTTTGGATTAGAATCTAGCAGATGAATTACCTGTGAACAGATAAGCAATTCCTTTTTTCTTTGAAAATTTGAGAAAAAACAGACTTCCAATATTGTGATTACTCAATTTTAAACATGAAGCTTTAG